TGTTTCTAAATGAAGAAGAGACCACTTAGTAAGCCTCCGTCCTGGGTCAGGAGTTAGTCCGTTTCAGTCTCAGAGGTCAGAAACCTCAATGCTGGCAGCTGCTTTTGTACTCAATGAATTACACCAGAACATTCTGCTTGGTTTCGGTTGGATGGTCTGCTGTCTGGATCCTCGTCCATTAGCCCTTTTCTTCTTCCTCTTTTAATTTTTTAAATTTTTTATTATCAGTTCATGGCTACTTAAGCACTCCAGTTGCATTCCATGTCAGATAGGGACATCCAGAAAGTGGCTCCCAAAATGACACTGTATTTGCTTCTCTGTGCCAATGATGGAGCCCCGAGTCAGCCCGACGTGACTTCCAGTAATCTGAAAATCTGTGTTTGGATCCCTTGGAGGGTGGACGGCTGGGGGAATGAATTTGACAAAGCTCTTGGAGTGTACAAATTAGAAACTGGAACATGCGTGGTAATAACCTGGCTTCATTGAATTTGCAGGGCAAATTTTCTCACAGGGGCTGGGATTTTCTGAGCTGGAGAGAGGATTACTGTTTCCCCTCTGGGCCATCATTTCATCTGATCTCACTTGTGCACAGTTGTGCAGTCCACAGGCTGCTTCGTGTTTGACCCACAGCTGGAGTTGCCTGACTTGGAAAGCAGGCTGGCATGGGTGAGGCCCCTGTGGGTACATGCCTAGCACAGCTGCTGTTTGCGCTGTGCCTCTGAGCAAATTAGCGAAGATGACTTATCCCCCTGGGTGGATGAATTTGAGACAGGCCCTGCTTCCTGTAAGCTGAGGCAGTCCCTCCCTGGCGGTCTTGTTGAGCTGGGCCTGGGGTGCATTTCAACCAGGCATCTTTGTGCAAAGTTTAACTTGTACAACTGTGCGTTGATGCCCAGACTGAAGGGAGACTGGGTTTGGAGGCAAAAGGCCATCATTTTTATTAAAAAAAATTTTTTTTTCTTTATTGATTTTATAGAAGAATGGAGAGGGAGAGAGAGATAGAAACATCAATGAGAGAGAACATCAACTGGCCGCCTCCTGCATGGCCCCCACTGGGGATCTGGCCCACAGCCTGGGCATGTACTCTGACCAGAAATCGAACTGATGACCTCTGGGTGCATGGGTCGACGTCAGCTCAACCAGGATGACCGGGCACAAAAGGGCATCGTTTGAGCTCTAGTTTCACCTTTAATAATCATTGTGTCTTAGGGGTGAGCAGGGGTCAGCCAACATTTTTTGTAGAGAGCCAACTAGTAAATAAACGTCTTAGACTTTGCAGACCATGTGGTCTCTGTCAAAACTACTCAACTCTGTCCTTGTAGCAGCCCCGGACATTTGTGAATGAATGGGCATCACTGTGTCCCAATACAACTTCATTTCCCAGTGGCCAGCCCATGGCCTTCATTGCTGAACCCGATGTGAAGCCCCGGCTGCAGGGCTCGAGTGTCATGGGCCTGCTGGAAAGGGAGGCGCTGTTATTGTTCTCACCCTTGTTCACTAACACTACTGATCGCATTTCCCGCACTGTCACCCTGTGCCAGTACTGTTCTGAGTACGAAGTAAATGTGCTTCATCTCATTTAATCTCCTCACCACCAAGTAACGTGTCCACGGTCCCGTGGCTAGTAAGGGGCAGAGCTGGTATTCAAGCCCTCTAACCGCCCAGCTCTGTGTTCCCTCGCGCAGCAGCCATCCCTGTTTCCCCACCCCTTCTCTCTGGCATCCTGTTTTTCCCTTTGTTTCAGCTCTCATTGTTTATAGTTATATATTTATTTGCATCTTGATTTGCTTCCTGTTCATTCCCCCTCAGTTGGGACGTTACATGGGCCCGGGCCTTGTTCTTGCCTTCCTAGCTCTGTTCCCATCCCTTAGCTGCCTCCCGGAATATGGGGAGGTCCTCCCTAAATATTTGCTCAAGAAATAAATGAGTCATGGCTAGCTCTGCCTCGCCTCTCCCCCTCTCTGCCAGCACTGTCAGCTCCTCACAATGGGTAGGAATTGGGCTCCAGTTGAAGCGCCTTTGTGATTCCCTAATAACCCATCCACTTCCAGAAAAAAAGGACTAGCCTACAGAGCAAATACCACACCACCTCCTCCACGAATAACATTGCTGCCTTAGGCTGCAAAAATTCAGCTAATAACACAGTCCCATGGACCTCATTTGACTTGTTCCTCCCTGTAGTCCTATAAGGTAAGCTGAGCAGTTGGGCTAACCACGCCCATTTCTCAGATGTGAAAACTGAGGCTTTGAAGTAGAGGGATTCGCCCAAGGTTGTTTAGCTAGAAAATGGCAGGTCTGGGGTTTGAACCCAGGTCTGTCTGGCTCCACAGTCTGAGCTTACTCTGCGTCAGGTTGGTCTGGAATGTAGGTCTGTGGCCAGCTGCATCTGACTGACTTTATTAAAAAATGCTGATGCCAGGACCCCACCCTCAGAAGTACTGATCTCATTGGTCTGGGTTGGGACCCTGGGCACCTGGGTGATTCTGGAGCAGCCAGGGTTGGGAACCTCTCCAGGCCTCGTGGCCCCAGAGCCGAGCCTGGTGTTCTCAACCTAGGATGTGTGTGGGAATCGCTGGGGACGCGTGTCTGATGGAGACTTTCATGTGTGTCCAAAAGTGGACGGCACAGTGAACTTGACCCTGCATTGCAGCTGTAGCTCTGAAAGGTACAGAATTTATAGTTTTCAATAGCTTTTTATTTAGAAATAACTTGACTCACAGAAAGTTGCAAAAATAAGTAGAGTTCCTGTGTACCCATTACCCAACTTGCCCCAATGATAGTATCTGAAAGATAAGGATTTTAAATAGCACAACTATTATGTTGCCTAAATACATGAATAATAATTCTTTAACATCATCAAATATTTCAGTTGTGGTTGCAACATGGTTCACTCTCTTACATTATATCATTCCTTCATTTATTAGCTGGACTATTTTTTCTTTCTTTTTTTGTTTTAATTCTCACCCGAGGACATTTTTCCATTTTTGGTTCAGATAGAGCGGGAGGGAGAGAGAGAGAGAGAGAAACATCGACGTGAAAGGGACACATCGAGTGGCTGCCACCCATACGACCCAACCAGGGCCAGGGACAAACTGCAACCAAGGTACATGCCCTTAGCGGGAACCGAACCCAGGCCTCTCTGGACCGCAGGCCGGCGCTCTAACCGCTGAGCAAAACTGGCCAGGGCTATTTTTTCTTCTTATTGAGTTTTTTAGAGAGAGAGGAAGGGAGAGATACGGGGCATGTACCCTGACTGGCAATTGAACCAGGAACTCTCAGTCCATGGGACGATTCTCAATCCACTGAGCCCCACCAGCTGGGCTTAGCCGGACTATTTCTATGCCAAGACACTTCCTCTCATCTTTTTGGTCCCCCTCTGGCGTAGATCATTAAGGAAAGGTGGAAAAATGCTTGTTTCCTACCCCTTTTCTGTTTTTAAGACGATTTGGTTCACTAGCATCTTTTCATCGGTGACACCAAGAGGTGATTCTTTTTTTTCAGTTATCAGTATGAACTTGTGTATTTAAACATGTGACATGTTTTAGTCCATTCTGTTTACTGTTTTTATGACAGCTCACATTGTCCCTTTTAGGCCCATGGGAGCCACTCCTGTTTGCTTCTGTGGCCCTTTAGCAAACCTGCTCAGCTTCGGTGTCCTTGGTGTCAGGTGTGACAAGGTGTTCTAAGCTTATCTTGTACACTTCCTGCCCACCCACTTTGCCAAGGAGACTCTGGGAGTTAAAAACAAAAACAAAGGCTCAGATGCTCTGGTCCCATCCCAGACCAGCGTAATCAGAATCTTTGGGCAGCGAGGCCCAGATATGGTGTTTTCTAAAAGCACTCCCAGCTCGGGTGGAAAACCACTCAGGTCGAGGGGGTCTCCCAAAGCCTCTTCTCTGAAAAAGCCTGGACCCCCTTGAGCACCATCCTCAGCTGAAGAGCTCATCACTGCATGGTGACCCCCCCTTCACTAAAGCTGGCGTTTCAGAATCTAGACCTGGACATTCCCACACTGAAAGCTGGCCCGTTTGTGCCATCCCAGAGGCTCCACGCTGCTGTCCCTTTCCCTCGTCTGTGTTGTTGAGCTGGAGCTCATCCTTGTGCCTTTGGGAAGGAGGTGCTGAGAATCTGTCCGAGTTCCCATTGCCCTTACGATGAAGACTCGGGTTCCTTACGTGGCCTCCGGTGCAGACCGCCCAGACCCTGTCCCTGCCAGCTCTCTTCCTGGGAGCCCAAGGAGATGCCGTGATCCCCACTGCAGCTGCGGTTTTGTATTTGTTCACGGGATTATTTATTAATGTCTCTCTCTGAAGTTTGACTGGAGCCCACATCCTGTTTCTGCCACTTCCTTTTTGGGACCCTGGGCCGATCATTTCACCCTGTGCTTCTCAGTTTCTTTTGTTATATAATAAAGTTGATGCTTTTACCTACTTTGGTGGGTAGTTATGAAGATTAAATGAGATAACTTGTGTAAAGTACTCAGAATAGAGCTAGCTAGTAGAGAATGTCAGGAGGTGTTATTGTTCTTATTGTTATTACTGCTCCCACCCTGGTATATTATGGGCTTCCTAAAGGGTGGGGTTATGTCTGTTCACTGAGATTTGTATACATGGTACTAGGCACGCAGTAGATGCTCAGAAAATGTTTGTTGAATGAATGCATGAAGGGAAGGATGCATGGAGTGAAGTGGGGATGACAGTAGCGCCACACTCTCCGGGTTGCCGTGGGGACCCAAGATGAGGCCCTGTACCATCTGTGCACAGAGCAGACATTCAGAAATACTTGCTGGGTGAAACTGGAGGAGCTGCCATGTGTTTATGTAAGGCCACTGGGCTCAGGAGAGACCTGCTTCCCCGGTGCACATTAGTGCGTGAGAGTGGCCGCCGGTCCTTTGGGAGGAAGAGTGGTCTGCTCACCGCTCCCTGCCAAGTGCTGTCATAGATGAAAAACTGAGACGTTCACTTCCCTTTTCCTCCCACCCTGTGTTTTCTCTCCACCAGAACCCTTGTCCGGAATCTGGCGCATCCTTCCTTTCCAGGATCACCTTCTGGTGGATCACGAGGTAAGACCTGGCCCTCCTGCCCCAGGCGGGCGTGGGGAGGGGGATGTGTGTGTGGCATAGTTGTGTCCTGAGTGTGCTTGCCCTGGACATGGGTCTCAGAGACACTGACCTTGTTCCCACGTTCACAAACTTTGAATTGCATGAACCATAAAGCACTTGAACCTCTGCAGATGGCTTGGCCTGGGGCAGTTAGAAACTGCACACTCTTGGCTTGGCTTTGGGTTTGGGTGTTTTTTTATGTTAGGAATAATTGTTGTTATTGGCATTGTTTCTAACCCCTCTCCATTAGAAACAATACACATGCACTGTTGGAAATGTGGGCGAGAGAAACATGCATAGTCAACAACAGAAACCTCCAGAGGCAGCCAGTCCTTCCTGTCCTTTTTTTTACATTCCTCCCCATCCCCCCACATTCTTAGCATCTTACTGGGCATTTTTGAACCTCTTCCCCTCCTGATCAGTGTTGTTCCTTGTCTCCCCCCCCCTTATTGATTTTAGAGAGAGAGATAGAAAATTGATGAGAGAGAATATCGATTGGCCGCCTCCTGCATTCCCCCACTGGGGATTGGGCCCACAACCTGGGCATGTGTCCTGACCAGGAATCAAACCGGTGACCTCTTGGTGCATGGGTCAATGCTCAACCCGTGAGCCACACCGGTTGAACTGTTCCTTGTCTTTATAAAGTTTTTACAAACATTTCTTAAATTAATTATTTTTCATACTGAATTATTTTTCAAATTACTGTTCAAGAACACCATCGGGACAGTTGGTATAATTTAAGTATGGACTTAAATTATAATTTAATGCTGCCCATGCTAGTATTTCTGATTCTGATGATCGTACTGTGGTTATGGAAGAATGCGTCCTTTTTCTTAGGGAGTGCACACTGATATTTAGGGGTGACGTGTGTAGACTCTGCACCCTACTCTGAACGGTTCAGGAAAGAATACATGACCACAGGTGTGTTTATAGAGACAGAAGATGGAAGAGTAGACGTAGCAGAGCATTAACAATGGGGAACAGAGCGAATGGTAGACAGGAATTCTTTGTACAATTCATGTGATTTTTCTGTAAGTTTGAAATTATTTCAAAATAGCAAGGTAAAATATGAGGTTAACTTTTTACTGTGAGAGTATTCAAACACGTTGAGAGACTAGTCTAATAAACCTCGCCAAACTCACCACCTGGGTTTAACAGTTATTAATGCCTTACCATATTATCCTTAAAAAACTGGTAAGCAGTCCTGGCCGGTTTGGCTCAGCGGTTAGAGCGTTGGCCTGCGGTCCAGAGAGACCTGAGTTTGGTTCCCGCTAAGGGCACGTACCTTGGTTGCAGTTTGTCCCCAGCCCTGGTTGGGTCGTGTGGGAGGCAGCCACTCGATGTGTCCCTTTCACGTCCATGTTTCTCTCTCTCTGTCTCTTCCTCTCTCTCCCTCCCACTCTATCTGAACAAAAAATGGGTGAGGATAAAAAACAAAAAACTGGTAAGCACATTGGAGCCATCCTACTATTTCCCTTCTAAATATTTGGTATGGATCTTTAAACAGTATGGTCATTTACCCTGGATGACCTAACAGAATTTAGTAGTAATTATTCAATGTTCCCAGATGTGCGCCGGTACTCAGAGTGTCCGAGATGCTCAGCCGCCTTGGGTGTGGGGCTGCACGGCGTGGCGGTGGCGGTGGCGGGCGTGTGCAGTGAGGGCCATTGTCCTCTTCCTCTTGACTCTCATCACCTTCCTCCTTGTGTTTCTGCCCCAGGTTGATGGTCCGGGGCTACCGTCAGCCCCTGGAGAGCACTGACCTCTGGTCCCTGAATAAGGAGGACACGTCAGAGCAAGTTGTGCCCGTTTTGGTAAAGAACTGGAAGAAGGAATGTGCCAAATCCAGAAGGTAAGCGTGAATCCTCTTGCCACCGGGGAAGCCAGACACACACAAGGACCCACAGCCATGTCCTTCCCCCATCAGAGGAGATAAAACAGGAGAAGTATTTGCAGGGGTCCTCAGGCCGTGGGAGTGGATTAAGGTCTGATCCCAAGTTTGGTGAGAAGGCAGAGGTGGGTTTTGTGTGGGGCAGGGGCACGGGGTGACTTCCGTTCTTTAACAACCCGGGGGACTGCCTGGGGGAGGTGGATCATGGGGGAGACGGGGGTCAGGCCTCAGAGGCTGCCTAAGTTCCTTTGTGCTCTGGAGCCTTTGTTTTCTACTTAGAGAGGGCTTTCTGAGAATTCAGCGAGATAAACATCCTCTGATAAGTTATCAGTCAGCTGAATCCACGTGAAAACCCTGGGCAGGCAGTAGTGCACAGGCGTGTTGACTCATCTGTGCGCACCAGGCTGGGTCTTCCACCCTGCCTGGGGGGACGCGTGAGAACTGGCCTGGGCTCTAATGTGGGCGCCCAAGGTGCACTGGCCACGAAGACTTTGGCCTTTAGGGGGTCTCCGCTGGGGGTTCGCTGCCTTGGGACACTGGCATATTGGTCACTTGCTTTGTTCCCAGGGTATGAGCCAGACCTAGCACCTGTAACCCCTGTGGTTGTGGGGGTGAGAGGAGAGTCCTGTTCTAGGAATTTCTTGGGGTGGCCTCTTGCAGTGAGTCCTCTTCAGTTAGCTGGAGAGCGAATGTAGCCTGTGCCGGGCTGCTGGGCGTCCTGGGCCTTCTGGGGAACAGGCACTAGCATCCTGGGCAGGGCGGTCTGGCTTGGCTTCTTGGCCTCGGTCCCAACATCCCACCCCCTCTAGCTCCTGTCTTCAGCCTTGAGTGACCACTCTCAAAAGTCAGGTCTGAGCTGCCTTACCCCACCCCCGCCCCTCCAACCCTGTCCCCACCTTTGGATTTTAAAATTCAGTTCTTCACTGGTTGCTACCAAATGGTTCTGAGTTGAACAAAATGGAGTGGAAATTTCTCTTTGACTTTTGGCCTCCAGTAGGTTAATGCCATTTTGGACTATGGTTCCTGCTGGCATGACTATAAAAACTTCAGTGGCTCTGGAAGAGAGTTTGGCAGTTTTTTTAAAAGTTAAACAGTTATTGTACCACCAGCCATTCTACTTCTAGGTGTGTGTGCAAGAAAACTGAGGTCATGTTGCTAAAAGACGTGCATAGCGCCTGTGTTGGGGCTGCCAAAGCTGGAGCAATCCAAACGTCCACTAACAGGTGGACAGAGCACAAATCACAGTGTAGCCATAAAGGGAGTACATCTATGCAATACAAAGGGATTATCGCTCGCTCTCTTTTTTTAAATCCTCACCTGAGGATATTTTTCCATTTATCTTCAGACAGAGTGGGAGGCAGAGAGAGAGAGAGGGAGAAATCCACATGAGAGGGACACATCGATTGGTTGCCTCCTGCACGACCCCAACCAGGGCCGGGGACCAAACTGCAACCAAGGTAGGTGTCCTTGACCGGAATTGAACCTGTAACTCTTTCGTCCGCGGGCCGATGCCCCAACCACTGAGCCACACTGGCGGTGGCAAAGGGGGTATCTCTTGATATGCTTGACAACATGGAAATATCTCGAAATAATTACGCCTAGTGAACAAAGCCAGACACAAGTACATACGAGGTGATTCCATTATATATAATTTTAGAATATGAACCATTCTATAGTAACAGAAATCAGATCAGTGGTTGCCTGGGACAGGGGAGACGTAGAGAGGTGGGTGGGGAAATTACAAAGGGACAGAACAGGGCGATGGGTGTGTCATTACCTTGATTTCCCTGGTGGATTCACAGGTCTATATGTGTGTCAGAACTGATCACATTGAACACTTTAAATATGTGCAGTTGATCATATATCAGTGATACCCCAGGAAAGCTATACATTCACAAAGCAGTAGTGTTTAAAGACAGGCTGACCATTTGACTTAATTGTCTCTGTTTCATAAAGGAATGCAAATGGCACATAAATGAAAAACAAAAGAAAACAAAACTCTCCAAAACATGCACGTTAAGCGGTGGTTCTCAACCTTTCAGTCTTGTCCCCATGAAGACAAAGATTTTATAACACCTCCTTTACTGGATTTTGTTGAACGAACTCAAGAAGAGTCTGAAGACTTTGACTAGAAATAAATGATAAAGGTTTATTTATGGGCTTTAGGGTCTGCAAACCGGAAGTACAACTAGGCAATACCCAGAGTGTGTTCTGGGGATCCCAGTGTCTGAGTCTGTCGGCCTGAGATGCACGAGCAGGAATGTGCAGTACAGAAAGGAAAAGTTGGATGTTGAATTGGTTAGTACGGAGACGGGGCACTAACGCTTGATGTCATGTAGCTACAGGTTACAGACAGGGCAAAACCATGAGACATGGAGGGTTAGGGGTGTGGGGTTGTGCTGGCAGCTGTTTCTTTAGGTCTTGGGGACAGTTCTGTGGTCTGCTCCCTCCGTCTGGTCTCATGAGAAAGTAGCCAGGGGAGCTGAAACACAACTTAGGCCAAGCAGGATGTTATCTTTAGCCCGCCGGAGGGTCAGACCTTGTGATCCTTACTCAGGTTTGGGCTGCTGTCAGCTGCTGCCTCGGATTGCTGATTATCAGGGGAAAGGCTAGGTCACTCAGGAGTATATATAGAGAGATGATTTGTAGTGCTAGGGTTTAAAACTAAATTAAAGTCATAAGGACCCTTGGTTTCAAGAAGAAAGAAAAGCTAACAGATCTAAAAGTAAAACAGTATATTCTTGAGAAGAATCGGTCCCGCACTCTTAGCCTCTGGATTGGTCCGAGATGGGAATCCTCCAGATGATGGCTGGTCTGGATCCTGGATGTCAGGTGGTCTGGATACGTGAACATTCTTTCCTCGTCCTTCAGCGGGAAATCAGAGGGTTACCTGGAGGCCTGATGTATATCCAGGTATTGGCGTAGGACTGGCAAGTACAACTAATAAGTTCCCAGGATGATCAAATAAGAATAGAAGAATTTTCTCAGGCCGCAACCTTCTTGGTTTTAGGAATTTAGCAGCTTGATTATAGTGACTCCATTTTATTTCTTCACTCTATTTCCTCAACTTTAAGGAAATAGACAAATAAAAATAGCCCACCACGTATCCAATTTAAAAAGTCAACATAATGATAATGCTGTCACTAGACCTTAAAAGTGTCAATGTAAGAAACATTCAAACCTGTGAAGGATTTTTCTGAGTTTATTTGAGCCAAAACTGCCGACAGTTGCCTGGAAGCAAATCAGTGGGTTGAGATAATGCTCCAGAGAATGGCAGTTTGCACCTTATTTTATACATTGTAATCTAAAGAGAAGATGCAAGTGAGTTACATGAAACCCATTGGTGATCCATTAGGGAGGAGGGAGAATGCAAAACGGGAAACCTCTGGGACTGGATGAAAAATATGATAGACACACACCTCTTCTACACAGGTGGGTACAGGATAGTCCACAACAATTAACTCAATAACAGTGAGGGGACTTGAGGTCTCCGCAGAGCGGTGCCTGCGCTTTGAGGGGTCCGGAAAAAGGAAAATTACTTTCACACTCCAAAGGTATGTTATTGTAGAGGCAAAAAGACAATAGACAAGGCTCAGTGAAGGTAAAGATTGACCTTCGTCAGGGAAGATGCCGGCCTAGGACATGACTACCCACCATAAACTGCTTTTAGTTAAAAAAAATTTAATTTCAGACCGTCCTTTGTGGTTACTTTAGGCAAGGCCGCCACACAGGCCTCCCCAGAGCTCGTCAGGTTAGCATGTGCTCCTCTTCATCCACAGAAGAAAACTAAAAGGCAAGGGATTTATAACAACAACAAATACTTCAGTGTGTACACGCTCAGGCGTGTGCGAGAATATAAATAAGGAGTCGCTGCTGGTTCCTCAGGGGAGAGTTGCCTTTGAGAGCTGAATTCTCAGCTCACCCGGTCTGCGGTTCTGGAGACCAGATCCACCATTGCCCTCATAGGCCGGGTTTTTGCTGGGTGGTCACCAGTGCTTGGCAAAGTTCCAAACGACATAGAGTCTTCCCTTACTTTGCACAGTCATTGCATTCCTGAAAAAATTTGAGGCATATTTAAACTTGCAAAAAAGAAAATGCACACTGTGCATGGGTTCATGTCGGAAGATGGCGTGGGATTCTACACTTGAGTAATTTTAGGCAGGCCTTTCACCTACATGGAGCCTGCTGGGATCTTCGTCCTTTGGGACTGTTCCGCACCTCACGGGTCTGGTCTCTGGCTCGGCCACTAGGACCATCAGAGAATGCCAGTTTGCAAAACAACCCCCCTTGAGAAGCCTATGATTTTGAGGCAGGAAAAGCACTCAACAAAACAAAACAATAACATAAAAAGGAAGAACATCTTGGGTCATTTGCATGTGTAGGTGACATTTAAGATCCTTCCAGGGCTGTACTTTCCAAGGAGGGGCTTGCTGAGGGGTGACGGTGGGATGGGGAAGGGGTGGGAATCACATCTATCTGGGTTTCCCAAACCATTGTCCTATATATTGTGAGTGCTAAGCGTGGAAATGTGCCTTAAGTTTGTAAAATTCTTCCTCCATGATTGTAGACCACAGCCGCCCTTCTGTGTCATATTGGGTACTATGGGTCAGAGACCATGCTCAAGGTATATCCAGAAATGTGGGATTTTAAGCAAGCTAAGACCATTCTAAGTGTGGGAGTTTACCTTTGCCAAAGGTGAAAGATCTGCTCTAATGGATGACAGACGGCCAGCAGCAGCCCCTCACTGCTGTTGGGTTGGTCCGAGGCCCTTCCAGTCTGCTCTCCCCACCCTGCCCTGGCAACCTCGAGGCTCTGGTGCTTCTTGGAAGAGGTGCCTCCCCTCTTCTCCAAACTCTCAGTTCCAGGCCTTGCTCTTCCTGTTCCCTCTGCCTAGAGCCCCCTTTCTGTCCCCAGCCGGACCTGTTCCCGTAACCTGTAGATCTTGGCTCCCACAAGCTTGTGAAGATCGTTTCCCTTCCAAGGCTCCTCGATGGTGAGGTCTCCCCAGTGTTCGGTTCAGGTCATGGATGGATGAGTGGCTGATGGGCATCTCTGCCCACAGCAAAATCCAGTTGAGTCAGCAAGTCCCCTTTTCTTCCCAGCTTCCGGCTTCCTCTCCTGTTTCTGTTACCCTGTTCTGGTTTTCTTCTGACTCAGACCTGCCCCTTTAACTTTTCCTTCCCCTCCCAGCCTGAGCATTCTGACGCCCCGCTTACTTCCTGTCTGTCCAGAGCGCCTGCCTCACAGGCCTCTTGACACGGGACATTTTTTTCTGACTAGGCCTTGGCTGCTCTTTCCCACTGACCTTGACCTCTTCCACCAGGACCCGAGCTGTCTTCTGCCTGGCCCTTTGGCATCCCATCTCCTGGTCACTGAAAATGGCCCTGGGTTAGCAGCCACGCAGGCCAGGGCCCGGGCCAGCTTGGGAAGCGGTGCAGAGAATGGACGGGGAGGGCTGACCGCTCCCTTCCCGTCTCCCCCTTGCCAAGAAGGCATGCTGCTGAAAGGAACAGCAGAACCCCAGCCAGAAACCCAGCTTCAGGGAAGGTCAGCAGGGAAGGACCTCACGTAGTCACCTGGACAACATGAGCAACAAATAATCCCCTGGGGCTCGTGGGATACTGCATCTCTCCCCCAGAGATGTCCATGTCCTGATCCCCAGAACTGGGGATCGGTCCACGCGCATGGCAGAGGGACTCGGCAGATGTGGTTGAGTGAAGGCTTTTGGAACGTGGAGACTTGTGTATTGCCTGGACCAGATAATCACAACGTCCTTGTCGGAGGGAGACAGGAGGCCAGGGAGAGAAGATGCTGTGCTGCTGGTGTTGAGGCAAGGGCTTTGAGCCTAGGATTGTAGGCGGCTTCTAGAAGGTGGAGAGGCGAGGAAACAGATTCTGCCTTAGAGCCTCCAGAAGGATGCAGCCCTGTGGGCCCACCTTAGATTTCTGACCTCCGGAAGTACGAAGTAACAAATGTGTGTTGTTTTAAACCACTTAGTGGTCATTTGTTGCAGAAGCCTCAGGAAGTTGTGCAGCTTCACACAGAGTTTAGATTTTACCCTGGATGCAGTGGGAAGCCTTCGGTGGAGTTGGCAGAGAGTGATGAATTTCTAGGATGGTCCCACCGGCTGCTGTACAGGGAGTTGGTTGTAAAGGAACAAGAATGGAAGGAAATGGGGAGCGGTGAGGACGTCCTGGCAGTGGTCACGGGCCCGGGTTGGAGGTGGTGGAGATGGAAAGAGTGAATAGATGACGACACATATCCCAGATGTGGAGTGGACAGGACACAGGCCTGATCGAACCTGGGGGGGGCATGAAGGTGGGGGTCAGGGATGAGCCCCATGTTTCCGGTCCTTTCCTGGGGCAGGGAGCACAGAGGAGAAAGACAGGGACTCGACAGAGCCTAGACTAGCATCCACAGTTTGGAGTGGGGACAGCACCAAGGCGGGCTGGAAGGCTGTGGTCTCCAGGGGGGAGTGTCACACGGTCCAGATGGCAGACACATGGCAAACAGGAGTCCCCCACAGTCGAGTGCTATTCAGTGAACTCATGCTGTGGAAGATTTGTGTACGTTGTAAATGTCAGGGTTGGGTGGGGATGAAGCTTAGAGTCCATGTTTAGTTGTTTGACAATGTTGCTTTAACTACATTTTGGTGGATGGGAGCCGGGGTGTGTATAGCAAATTACCCCCAACCTAGCAGCTTAAAGTAACAATGTACATTTACTATCTGGGCCAGGGATTCAGGAGTGGCCAGCTGGGTGGTTCTGGCTCAAGGTCTCTCATGAGGCTGCAGTTAGTGGGTGGACAAGGCTGTACTCCTCTGAGGGCTCGCCTGGGGCTGCAGGATCCGCTCCCAGTTGCGCATGGCTGGCTGGCAGTGCTGGCTGCTGGAAAGGCCTCACCATGGCGGCTCTTTCAGAGGCTCAGCGAGTGTCCTCGCAGCGCGGCCGTTGGCTCTGCCCAGAGTGAATGACTGAAGAGATGACAAGGTGAAAGCCACAGACAGTTCCATGACCTAGTCTTGCAAATGACGCTCTGTCATTTCTGCACTGTCCCATTCCAAAAGAGAGAGGACTCCACATGTGAGGGTTCTGATTTCTTCACATCCTTGCAAACACGTGCTGTTATCTGACTTTCTGATGATGGCCATCTAGTGGGTGGGAAATAATATCTCATTGTGGTTTTGGTTCGTATTCCCCTACTGACTAAGGATGTTAAGCGGCATTTCGTATGCTTACTGGTTGTTTGCATATGCTTTTTGCCCCTTTTAAAATTGGGTTGTCTTTTTCTTAGTGAGTTGGAAGAATTTGTTGTGTGCTTAGTTACAAGTCCTTTATCAGACTTTTGATTTGCAGATATTTTCTCCCATTCCATCCATAGGTTGTCTTTTCACTTTTTTATTTTTCCCCCTATGAAATCTACTTCTCAAAGACTGTTTGAAGCACTATTGTCTTTTATTTGGATGAAATTCAATTTATTTATTTAGTTAGTTTGTTGCTTATGCTTTTGGTGTTATATCTTAGACTCCACTGCCAACTCCAAGGTCATAAAGATTTTCCTCTGTGTTGCCTTCTCAGAATTCTATAGTGTTAGCCCTACATGTAGGTTTCTGATCCATTTCAGGTTAAATTTTGTATATGATGTGAAGTAAGCGTTGAGCTTCCTGCTTTTGTCTGTATCACTTAGTTTTCCAGCACCATCTATTGAAAAGACTATTCTTGCCTTGGCAGGTTCTCAGTGGTTAGAGCATTGGCCTGCAGACCAGTGAGTCACGGGTTTGATTCCGGTCGAGGGCACGTACCTCAGTTGTGGTTTGTCCCTGGCCCTGGTTGGAGTCATGTGGGAGGCAATCAATTGATGTGTCCCTTTCACATTGATGTGTGTGTCTCTCTCTCTCTCCCCCTCCCACTCTATCTGAATAAAAGTGGAAAAATGTCCTCAGATGAGGATAAGAAAAAAAGAAGAAGAAAAAAAGACTATTCTTTTCCCATTGAGTGTTCTTGACACCCTTGTCAAAAATCATTTGGATTTATTTCTGGATTCTCATTTCTGTTCTACTGATCTATGTCTGTCTATCCTTATGCCTGCCTTAATTATGGTTGTTCTATAGTAAGTTTTGAAATTGGGAAGTATGAATCCTCTGACTTGGTCTTTCTTTTTCAATATTGTTTTGGCTATTTTGGGTCCCTTGAATTTCCATATAAATTTTAGTATTAACTTGTTAATTTCTACAAAGAAGCCAGCTGGGATTCTGGTAGCGATTGCATTGGATCTGTAGACCCGTTCGGGGCTGGCACTTTTCTGTGCCCTTTATGTATATTAACTCATTCAATTTTCACAACAGCCCTATGAGGTGGGTCCTACTTTTATTCCCATTTTACAGATAAGGTCTAGAGAGGTTAAGGAAGTTGCCTAAAGCCACACAGCTGGCTAGTGGCTGAGCCAGAATCCGGAGTCCCTGTTCATGACCGCTCTGCTAAGCTGCCTCTGCGATGACCGGTTTTCTTTGGCTGGGCCTCCCCGGAGGGCAGGGTCCCCTGGCCCTCTCCTGCAGCCGGTGGGCCTATCTCTGGCAGACCCACATGGCTGCACACTCCTTGTGTTCCAGGCAGCCGGCGAAGGTCGTGTACTCCTCCAAGGATCCCGCCAAGCCCAAGGGGAGCTCCAAGGTGGATGTGAACGAGGAGGCCGAGGCTCTGATTGTCAGGTCCCCCCAGAAGGAGCGGGAGCCGTCCCTGTTCAAGGTGCTCTACAAGACTTTTGGGCCCTACTTTCTCATGAGCTTCCTATTCAAGGCCCTGCACGACCTTATGATGTTTACCGGCCCGGAGATCTTGAAGTAAGACCTCTTCGCTCCCAGCTGGGCAACTTTTCGCATCCTTGACTTTCCCCTTTCAATGCTCACTTTCCCTTAGGCTCAGGTGGCACCATAGGGTCAGGTGGCATGCTCCAGGCGGCTTACAGCCCAGTCTCTTGATCTACCTGCTTTGCTTAGTGCTTTGCTTTAATAGCATCTTAATTAAGGCCACTTTGTTTGCAAGAAGCCTACTATACTCCCCTGAAGTCAAAAGGGGGACGAGAGAGGATTTTCTTGGGAAGTGAAGAGGGCCAGGTCACATGAGAACTGCACCCTCAAACCAGAAAGTCAGAACGGAGGTCACCTCTCTCTCCTCTGTGTCTACCTTCCTCCCTCTCTCTCTTTCACTCTCATTGTCTCTGTTTCCTTTCTCTGTGTATCTCTTTGGGGCCACACATTTGTTCTCTAGCCCTCCCCACTCTGTCCCCTTATGCTCTCTATTTGGTCGCCTTTGCGTGACTCACCGGTGATGAGATGGCACAGTCAGTGCAAGAAGCCTAAGGCGCCCTGCGATGCATGAGCGGTTTGGGCACCCTGCGCAGTCAGACCACCGCCGCGGCTGGTATTTCATCTTTAAAATTGGAGTACTGATGCTTGCCTCTCCTGGCTTGGGAGAAAGTCGAAATGCTGAAAGTGAAGGACTTTTCCCTGCACGGGCATGCCACAGTGACACCATTCTGGGCTCTATCCTCGCTCCTTCGCAGATTGCTCATCAACTTCGTGAATGACAAGAAGGCCCCGGACTGGCAGGGCTACTTCTACACCGCGCTCCTGTTCATCAGCGCCTGCCTCCAGACCCTCGTGCTGCACCAGTACTTCCACATCTGCTTCGTCAGCGGCATGAGGATCAAGACGGCCGTCATTGGCGCCGTCTACCGGAAGGTGGGTGACGCCGGGTCGTGGGCGCGTGGGCCGACTTTGATATCTGCTGCAGCCCCAGAACCAGTAGGCACGTGGCTGGGTCACTCTGGGGCCACCACGGGGATGGCAAGCCCAGCTTCTACAGCAGCGGCTCTAGTGTGGCCTTCGTGACTGCAGCTGGCAAGGGTAGACAGTTCTGTGGTAGGCCTCAGCAAAGCTGATTTCAGGATGTCCGTGGGCCCCTGGGTCAGCTGTGGAAATTGAATTTCTTAGGTGGAAGTTGATTTGGGGAAATCCAAGTTCAGATCCTTGCTCTGCTGTTCACAGTCTGTGTTTGAGCGTGTTCTGACTCTGACTGAGTGGATGGCCTCTCCCCTGGATGATAGGGTCCGTAGCAGGTGTCTGCGCACAATGTTAAAGGGACTGGATTACCTTCTTGGTCCCTTCATTCCATAGCCTCTGGTGCAGGGACACCACTTGGGCCCCATTGGTTGGGAAGAGACTCCAGCAGATAGTCAGGAAAAATGGTTCTCAGCCTGTCTGCAAGTTAGACTCACCTGGAGAGCTTTAAAATCTTCTGATGCCCAGGCCACACCCGACCAACCAAATCAGGACCTCTGAGGGGTGGGACCCAGGCATCAGTAGTTCTAAAAGTCCCCAGTAATATTGTGAATCCATGTCTGAGGACCAGGGTGATTTTGTCTGTCCAGGTGATGTTTGTCCCTGTCTGGAGATATTTTTGGTTGTCATAATGGGGGTTAGGGGCATCTAGTGGGGAGAGGCCAGGGGTGCTGCTAAACATCCTATAATGCACAGGACGTGACCCAGCCTTGAGTGTCAGGCATGCCGGCATTGGGGAACCCTGGCCTCTCCTTGGCCTTCAGTGTTTCTGGGGACGAGCAGCAGCAGCATCACTTGGGAGCCTGTTAGAAAAGCAGAGTCCCAGACCTGCCCCAGACCTGCTGAGTCAGAGCCTGCGTGGTAGTAAACTTCCTGGGTAAGGCGTGTAACACAAAAAGTGTGCAAAGCCTGGGTCTAGGTGACTTACACCTTGAAGAGCTCACGAGGGGGGGCAGTGAGTGCCATCGGTAAGAGCGAGGGTTTCGTGATGAGGCGGACGAGCTGGAAGGCAGGGAAGCGGCAGGGGAGGAGGAAAGAGCAGGGTCTTCCCACTCCTGAGCAGTCTCCTCTCTTCACACAGGCCTGGAGGCAGAGTCCAGGGCTCTTCCTCTGCCACATGCGCACTCTTGCTCTCTCCTTTGTCCCACAGGCCCTGGTGATCACCAATTCCGCGAGAAAATCATCCACGGTCGGGGAGATCGTCAACCTCATGTCTGTGGACGCCCAGAGGTTCATGGACCTGACCACGTACATTAACATGATCTGGTCAGCCCCTCTGCAAGTCATCCTTGCGCTGTACCTTCTGTGGCTGGTGTGTGTTTGATGTGGTTCCCCTTCATGTGGGGAGGGACCTCTGTGTGTGGGCATTGGGTGGGAGGGAGTGGGTGTCGATGATCAGAACCTCTATAGCTCTCTGGTATTTCTCGCTGTCATTTGCATTTTATTTTCTGACCCATCAGCCAATTCCTGTATATTTTATTCATTTCCTCAGTTGTTGGGTTTATGTTCTCTTTGGTGGCATGGTATTTGTTTGCATTCACCTTTCCTTTTTTTTTGTACAGGCAAGTCACTCACATTCTTTTTTTAATTGATTTTAGCGAGAGAGAGGGAGGGGGAGAAAGAGATAAGAAAGATCGATCGGCTGCCTCCTGCACACCCCCTACTAGGGATCAAGCCCTCACCAGGCATGTGCCCTGACTGGAAATTGAACTGATGACCTCTTTGTGCATGGGGCATTGCTCAACCAACTGAGCCACACCAGCCAGGGCTCATTCATCTTTCTTTTTTTTTAAATTTTTTTTAATTATCCTCACCCGAGGACATTTTTTTTATTTTTTGTTCAGATAGAGTGGGAGGGAGAGAGAGGAAGAGAGAGAGAAACATTAACGACGTGAAAGGTACACATTGAATGGCTGCCACCCGCACAACCCAACCAGAGACGGGGACAAACTGCAACCGAGGTACATGCCCTTAGCGGGAACCGAACCCGGGTCTCTCTAGACCACAGACCGACGCTCTAACCGCTGAGCCACACCGGCCAGGGCTCATTCATCTTTTCTTGAGAGCATATGTTATTAACAACCCTATAACACGCACACCATACTTCCGCCACTGTATTCTCCCGAACTTCACTTAACTCATTTATTCACTAGTCTTAAATTATGTTGATCAAGATAATATCTGTTGTTTGCAAAAGGATAGCGATGCATCAGCTGGAACTCTCCCCTCCCATGAGCAAACTCAAATATACAGGTATGCTGGAAACAGCAGCTTCTGAATAACAAAGATAAAGAGACCAAACAGAGATGGCTGGGAGGCTGGGGAAGCCCTGGGGAAACTCTGAGTTGGAGGAGTGGGTGCTGCCATTGTTTACATTCTCCTCCCCTTCCTGGGGCTGGTGGGAGGCCTGATCTGGGCCTGTCTGCAAGATCACCACAGCAGTTAACCATTATTGCCCGGAGCTGTTTGTCTCAGCAAAGGGAGCAAAGCAGGAAGGCCAGGAACCACTCCAGTCAGACCAGCCCGTGCCCCAGAAGCCATGCGTGCCTCACCGAACTAGCTGGATTCCCAAAACTACTCAACGCAAGAGCCTACACAGAGGTCACTTCTACACGAGACCACTTTCTATATAACAAACAAGAGGGAGATGTATAGCCCTGGCCAGTTTTGGTCAGTGGTTAGAGCGTCAGACCGTGGAATAAAGAGTCTCGGGTTCAGTTCTGGTCAAGGGCACGTACCTTGGTTGCCGTTCATCCCTGGCCCTGGTCAGGGTAGTGTGGGTTTCTCTACCTCTCTCCCCACCCCCCTCCCTCCCTCCCACCTTATCTGAGGATAAATGGGGGGAAAATATCATTAGGGCACTGGCCAGCTTGGCTCAGCGGTTGGAGCATCAGGCTGCGGACCAGAGTCCTGGTTTCGGTTCCCGCTAAGGGCATGTACCTCAGTTGCAGTTTTTGTCCCTGCCCCAGTTGATGTGTGGGTGGCAGCCACTCGATGTGTCTCTCTCACATCGATGTTTCACTCCCAGTCTTCCTCCCTCTCTCCCTCCTGCTCTATCTGAAGATAAATGCAAAAATGTCCTTGGGTGAGGATAAAAAAAAAATTTAGGAGAGTTGTACAGAGAAGACTGGCGAGATGCAAGGGCTCTCTGGAGGCTATGGGAATTCTCCAGGGTCAGAGGGGCTGTGAGCACCATTTGTTATGTCTCCCTCTGTCTCCGCGGGGGGGGGGGGCTCTATTCAGATGCTCTGACCTAGCTGCAAGGTTGCTGCGGTGTGTTTCCAGAACACCACCTGAGTCCATTTCAGCCTCGAATGAAGGGAGGAAGCTGAATAGAATCAACAGGGTGTTACTACACAGTGTGGCCTCCCCACTTGGAACCACTCAGTTGGCCAGGGCTTTGGGCACCTTAGGTACCTGCTCAGCTCCTACCAGCTTGCCAAAACCACCTGGCACACACAGCCTACACAGAGCCTGCTTCTCCATTAGGCTACCTTTTCAAGACTGGGAGAGATAGCTATTTTGTCTAATTTATTTAAAGAAACGTAGAAAATCAAACAAAATGAAAAGACAGCAGAATCTCTCTCAAATGAAAGAATAAGAAAAATCCCCAGAAAAAACCCTAAGGAAATGGAGATAAGAAATTTGTCTTTATTTGTCTAATAAAGATTTCAAAGAAGTAGTCATAGGATGCTCACCAAACTTGAGAGTGGAATAGAGGAACTTGGGGGAGAATAACAATGAGAAAGTATAAAAAAGAACAAGCAGACCCAAAGAATACAATAACTGAAATGAAACATACATTAGAAAGAATCAACATCTGAGTAGCTAATACAAGAGAATGGATCAGTGATCTGGAAGACAGACTAGTTGATACATTAGAAAGAATCAACATCTGAGTAGCTAATATAGGAGAATGGATCAGTGACCTGGAAGACAGAGTAGTTGAAACCAACCAATCAGAACAGCAAAAAGAAAAAAGAATTTTAAAGAAAGATGAGGATAGTGTAAGGGACCTCTGGGATAATATCAAGCATACTAACATTTCACATTGTAAGGGTTCCCAGAAGGAGAAGAAAGAGAAAGGTATGGAAAACCTATTTGAAGAAATAATGGCTGAACACTTTCCTAATCTGAGAAAGGAAACAGATGTTTAGGTCCAGGAAGCACGGAGAGTTCCAAACAAGATGAACCTGAAGAGACTCACACAGAGACATAAGTAAAATGGCAAAAATTAAAGAGACAATCTTGAAGACAGCAAGAGGAAGATGAGTAACATCTAAAGGAAACCACATAAGGCTAGCAGCAAATTCACAGGTCAGAGGAAAGTGGCAGTATATCTTAAAAGTGCTGGAAAAGAGGAACCTACAACCTAGAATAATTTCCCCAGCAGTGTTATCATTCAGCATTGAAGGAGAAATAGAGAGTTTCTCAGGCAAGCAAAATCTAAAGGAGTCCATCACATTAAACCAGCTTTATAAGAAATGTTAAAGAGTCTTCTTTAAGGAGAAAAGGAAAAGCCATAACCAGAAATAAGAATATATGAGAAAGGAAAAAAATCTCACAGATAAAGCCAAATATTTAATAAATTACAGAGAATCAGGCTACTGTGAGGGTCAAAAGAAAAACAGATCAACTCAAACTACAGTACGTAGGTAGGAGATACACAGCACAAGAAGATCTAAAACATGACATCAGTAACAGCAGATGTTCAAACGTAAATGTCTTGAAGTAGACTGCTATGGATAATGATATACATGGTGGGGCAAAAGTAGGTTTACAGTTGTTCGTATGGAAAATAAGACAGTCATTAATAATAATGCAAGAATAAACTCTGTGTTTTGTGTACTCACAACTGTGAACCTACTTTTGCCCCACTGTGTAGATAAACCTTCCAGTAACCACAGACCCAAAATCTACAAAAGATATATGAGGAAGAAAGAAAGGAACACTAAGGAACAGTAAACCACAAGGCAAGAGATCAAGAGAGGAGGAAAGGCATAGAGGACAGCTATAAAACAACCTGAGAACAATGAACAAAATGGCCTTGAACATCCTTAATCATTCCTTTAAACGTAAATGGATTAAATGTTCCAAGGAACGACATAGGGTAGCTGAATGGATTTAAAAACATGGCCCGCCCTGGTCGGTTTGGCTCAGTGGTTGGAGTGTCGGCCTGGAGACCAGAGAGTCCCAGGTTCGGTTCCCGCTAGGGGCATGTACCAAAAACAAACAAACAAAAACTATGACCCATTACCTGGCCTGTGTGGCTCAGTGGTTGAGCGTCAACCCATGCACCAAGAGGTTGCCGGTTTGATTCCTGGTCAGGGCACATGCCCAGGTTGTGGGTCCAATCCCCAGTGGGGGGCATGCAGGAGGCGGCCAGTCGATGTTCTCTCTCATCGATTTCATTTCTCTCTTCCTCTCTCTCTAAAATCAACAAAGAAAAAAAATTAAAACAAAACATGACCCATGTATATATATACTGCCTGTAAGAGACTCACTTCAGATCAGAAGACACACACAGACGGAAAGTGAAGGGATGGAAAAAGATATTCCATGAAAATAGAAACGAAAAGAAAGCACTCTCTTTTTGGATGTGTCTCCTCGGGCAAGGGCAAGACAAGAAAAAAATAAACAAATGGAACTCTATCAAGCTAAAGTGTTTTTGTGTAGTGAAGGAAATCAAAACAAAAAGACAACCTACTGAATGGGAAAAGGTACTCGCAAATGATACACCCGATAAGGAATTAATACTCAGAATATATGAGGAAACTTTTACAACTTAACACCAAAAAAAAAAAAAAATTCCAACTAAAAAATGGACAAAGGACCTGAATAGACATTTCTCCAAAGAGGACATACAGATGGCCAACAGACCTGCTAAAATATGCTCATTATCACTAATCATCAGGGAAATGCAAATGAAAACCACGGTGAGCTATCACCTCACACCTGTCAGAATGTCTACCATTAATAAATCAACAAATAACAAGTGCTGGTGAGAATGTGGAGAAGAAACCCTTGTGTACTGTTTGTGCAATTGTAAATAAAAAGATATATGCACCCCTAAATGCCCATCAACAGATGAATGGATACACAATAAAATATTATTCAACAATAAAAAAAGAATGAAATCTTGCCATTTGCAACATAATGGATACAGAGGTTATTATGCTAAGAGAAATAAGTCAGACAGAGAAAGACAAATATATGATTTTACTTATATGTGGAATCTAAAATAGCAGAACAAATGGATAAACAAAACAAAATAGAAATGGATCTATAGATACAGTGAACAAGCCATTTTTGCCAAAGGGGAGTGGTCTGGACAGATGGGAATATAAAAAAAAAGATGAAGAAAATTAGTTGGGGAAACTGACAGGGATAGAAAGAAGGCACTACATTAAAATTATCTGCATGAGAGTCCACTACCAATGTGTGCCAAGTAATAAGGTGGTTATAGAGGCCCCTGTTTCAGCCAGCAATACTTTTTTTTTTGCCCTCAGATTCCTTGGAGATCTCTTGATGCAGTTTGTGTTTGAGGTAAATAGGATCACAGTAGGCATCATTGCAACATCTGAATATACTTTCCTAAAAATAAAAATAGCCTTAAGCAAATAAAGGGAATTTTGCGATTATAGACACATAACTGAAAGTCCAGGGATTTCAGATATGTATGGATCCAGGAGTTCAAGGAATGCTATAAGGACTCAGTTTTATTTTTTATTTTTTGGTCCTATTTTCCTCTGAGTTGACTTTATTCTCAGTGGGATTTTACAGCTTTGGGCTTGTATCATTTTTACAGATAGTGGTGTCAGAGAAAAAAATAGTCCTTTTTGCCTTAGCCAGAGCCCCACTGAGGACTCTGATTGGCATGGCACAGTCCTGTTCACATCCCTGAACCAATCACTATGAGGCAGGAGGCAGAGTTCTCTGGTTGGTCAGCCTGGATCACAAGCCCTTTCTCACTGTGGAAGGGGTGGAGGTATGATTGACAACCCTTCTACCAGGGGAGGGGCAATTCCCCAAATCAAAAGATGATGAGCAAAGATGCTCATATCCTAACATATGCCTTATTCTTTCCCTCCTCTGAGCCTTGGCGTGTGCCTTTCCTTCCACCAGGAATGTCCTTCTGTCCTTTCTCCCTAAGGATGAAACCCCACCCATCCCTCAAGGCTGTGACAAATGCCACTGATTATTTTCCTTCTCAATTAGATGGACTTACTCCTTTTTCGAACCCCAGTAGTTTTAGTATAGAAACTCATCTGATTTTACCTTTTAGAATTACCTTTTACCTTTTTGCACACTCAGTGGACCACCTCCTCTCCTGGGAACATGTTAGCTACTCATGGACTCACAGAGTCTTGTTTTCGTATCCTGTGGGTACCGTCCCAGCTGGGCCTGGTCCATAATAGGTGCACAACAAATTATCTGTTGATTTGACTGTATTGTGTGTGTGTGTGTGTGTGTGTTTATAAAGCAGACAGCAAATGGTTACAAATCGTTTCTATTAATGAAACGTAGAAAATAAATACCAGAATTTAGATACCAAAAGTCTTTTCTGGAATCCACTTCCCCAGAAGGTGTTGCTGTGGAATACTTTTAGAATTGCCTTTGGGGTTGGCTTATGAACTAGGAAGAAACTTGCTTTGTTTTCAGTGAGGGTTGCTGAATGAGTTATTGGCATTTGGGACCAGATTCTTCTCTCTTGTGGGAGCCACCCTGTCTGTTGTAGGATGTTTAGCAGCATCCCTGGCCTCTACCCCCTAGATATCAATAACACAACACTCCTCTCAGCCCCTCTTCTGACAACCTACATTTTTCTAGACACTGCCAGATGTCCCCTGGGGGGAAATTCCTTTCCAGTTGGGGACCACTGACTTAAACCAGAAATAGGATTTCTCTGTTTAATCCTCAAACACATGCCGTAGTATAGTGGATGACAGTGGGCTGTGGCATCAGACTGCGTGGGTTCAAATCCCGCCTCTTCCATTGCTAGCTCTGACTTTGTCACTAAGCATCTCTAAGCCTCAGTGTCCTCTTCTGTAAATTGGTGAGGGTAACGGTACTTCTCATCATACGGATTTTGGGAGAATGGAATGAATGGATACAGGTAATGTTTTATGGAACAGTGCGTGGTACACAGATGTTTTCAGTCTCTCTCAGTTCCTGTTGTTTGCTGTCAGAGTTCTGAATGCTTTCGATTGTTGGTAGAAATCACCTTTGTTCTCAAAGGTAGATTAATCTTCACATTACCAAGGCCATTGGATCAACAGTAGTATTTTTTGGAACTGGGTCTGGAGCCCTTGCAGGTGACTACTTTGAGGGTACTAACATCCCTATTTTTCTGAATGTCTAAGGGAAAAACGATCACATGACCCTGGAGGTTCCATCTGTATGTTTCAGCTAAGTACATACACACTGGGCTAACTTCTCAGGCTGTCTCCTGGTATGCGAGGAAGCTGAAAGATACCGATCTGTATGGTCAGCTCTTCTTAACCTCTCTGAGACAGTTTCCTCGTTTGCAAATGGGACAAGAGAAAAAGTCTGCAACCTCTTATCTACAAATCCCAGATCCTAAGGAGCTCTGAAATCCCAAGGTTTTTCTTAACTGATTTGGTGGCAAGACCTGACCTGAGCTGATGTGAGCTGTTTATAACCTTGCTTATTTCTCTCAGTGTGAATCTTTCTGTCTTGCTGCTGAAAAGTCAGGGCGTTTGGTTACGGAGTGCCGTGCTGGGCCCTGGCGGAGTGTCGTGCGGAACGGTGTCCCCGAGAGCACGCCAGGGTGATGATTCACTAGGAGAACTCAGGGCTGTATTTTAGCACAGGAGGCTGAGTGAGGGTAGAGACACGGGTGGAAGTTTGGGGGGAACCAGATACAAGCTTCCAAGAATTCTGTCGGTGGCCTCACACAGGGTGCCCTTGATTCCCCAGCGACCAGGTGTGGCGGCCTCAGTGGAGCCCGGCTGGCCATGGAAGCTTGGTAGAGACCTGGAGTCTAGGTTTTTACTGGGGCTGGTCACATAGCGTAGCCTCGGCCAGGCACTTACCAAACTTCTGACTCCCAGAAGGAAAGGGGTGTACTGGTTGAGGCACAGGGAGCTGCTGGGTTCTGAGAATGGTGAGAATCCTCTCCCAATCCGAGCTCCCAGGTGCCAGCCTAGGGCCAGATGTGTAAGCAGACCTTCAAACAAGGCAAACCCTCAGGCTGGCTGTGTTAACTGTTTCCTGCTCCACACCTTATTACCTTTTAAAATTATTAAGTCCTACCTTGGGAAACTCATTTAGTCCCAAGAGTTCCGATAAAGAATCATGGACCTGCATGTTCTTTTTTATTTTTCTTTATTGATTTTTAGAGAGGGAGAGAGAGATAGAAACATCGATGAGGAAGAACACCTATTGGCTGCCTCCTGCATGCCCCTCACTGGGGATCGGGACCACAACCTGGGCATGTGCCCTGACCGGGAATCAAACCAGCAACCTCTTGATGCATGGGTTGACGCTCAACCACTGAGCCATATCGGCCGGGCACCTGCATGTTCTTAAAGGGGTTGTGGGATCCCCTGAGATTCTTAGGAATAAATCTGAAAATTTAACAGCCCACTGTTGAGTAAAAGTAACGGAACTGCCTGGAACTTGCTGGGCAGTCTGAGTGGGGTGGCCCAGCCTGGGAAGCCCTGTGTAAAGACCTTTGTCCTCTTTCCTTCCTTAGAACCTGGGCCCCTCTGTCCTGGCTGGGGTGGCTGTGATGATCCTCATGGTTCCCCTCAATGCTGTGATGGCCATGAAGACCAAGACCTACCAGGTAGGGTATCTGTCTCCACTGGGCTCCAGGCTGGGCCCTGGCCTGAGGTCTTTCTACGTGGCTTTTAGCAGAGTTCTTTTTGCTCAGGATGTGGGGTTCTCAGCCCTGCCTACCTTTTGGGATTCCCCTGAGGAGTTTTAACAAATGCTGCTGTCCGGGCCCTAGTCCTGGGATCCTGATGCACCTAATATGGGTGGGCCTGGCATCAGGAGTTTTCGAAGCTTCCCAGGCGATTACAATGGCAGTCAAGGTTGTGAGCTCCCGAAATGATTAGACCTAGTGGGCCAGTGATTGAAAGCACGTCTCCGAGCCTGTGAGAAATCCCTTATCTCCCTAGAATTGATTCATTTGTGTGTGTGTGTGTTTTAAAATTACTCCATACACTCCCCACTCTCACCTTATGCTAGGTGCAGTGACAAACTCTTTAGTTTCTGAGATGCTTTGTATTTTTTAAGTTTTGTTTTTTCCTTTATTGATTTTAGAGAGAAAGGGGAGGGAGAGATAGGAACATTGATTAGAGAGAACATCGATTGGTTGCCTGCTGCACGCCCCCCACTAGGGATCAGGCCCACAACCTGGGCATGTGTCCTGACCGGAATTCGAACTGGTGACCTCCTGGTGCATGGGTCGAAGCTCAACCACTGAGCCACATCAGCTGGACATATTTTTTAAGTTTTTAAATTTCCTAATAGCAAAGTGAATACATTCTCATTATTAAAAATGTTCAAATAATACAAAGGTGTGGGATGGGCCCTTTCCTAGCCTCTCAACCACAGTGATCATGGTGAGGTAAATCCTTCTAGAACTTTCTGTGCATTTATGTAGAGACCTGATTACATAGTTAGGGTTGGTGTGTATATGTGCGTTTTTTGTGGTATTGTTACCACATATATTTTTACACAGGTGGGCCTGTTTGGCAGCCTGATGTCATCATTTGACACCATGGCTTGGAGACCTTTCTGTGGCGTGCCACAGTCTGACTTCATTCTCTTGAACTGTTGCCTAATGGTCCATCACAGAGATGGGCCAGAGTTCACGTCTCTGCTCGTTGTTGATGGCTCCCTGTTGAAGTGCCTGTGGAATTTCAGATGAGAGGGCCCCTGGCCTCCCTCCCTGGTGGTGCCAAAGGAGAGATGATTTCCAGGACGTGGGCCTGTTGGAACGAGGCCTCGTCCAGCGAGGGTGGGGCAGGCAGGAAAGGAAAGGCAAGGAAGGGCGCCTGTGGCTGTGTCACCTTTCATGCTCATGACACGTGGGCTTCCCTGAGCAGCCACCTCTGAAACGGCTCCAGTCACTGGCTCTCATCTCCTGTTGCTTCAAGTGTCATCTGTGACCCGGGCATGACATTGCACTCCATGATAGGGTGCTCGTGAGCATTACATGCCCACATGCATGGAAAGTGCTCAGAAAAGTGCCTGGCATGTGGAACGTGCGAGATGAGATGCTGTTAGCAGTCCTTAACAACTGACTGGCGTGGACACCCAGGGTCCAACCCAGTGGCGGCTGTTCGAGAGACGCTTCAGTATTTTAACGACCATGCACTGGCTGAAAATTCACAGAGAAAGTAACAAAATGCAGGGGGGAAAACCCAATGTCATCTCTTGTGTGTTTGGATCTGCAGAGTAGGGACCATGTCCCTGAATCCTGAAGGATTTTTCTTATCTCTGTTCCTCAACCCAATAGGTTTCTTTGTGTCTAATTTCACGTGATCTGAAGCGTTTCTTTTCCCCGCTGATAAGAGCCCCTTACAGTGTGCTCAGGGTCAGGAGTGGGGTTTGCGGCAATTGCAGGGTCCGCTCGGTTTTCACACCCCCAGGAAGCCCGTGTTTAGTAGACAGGGATGCCGAGGCCTGAAGTGGGCGTGCCAGCTCCCATTGTGGGGCTGATTGCTCTTCTCTTTGAAGGTAGCCCACATGAAGAGTAAAGACAGTCGGATTAAACTGATGAATGAAATTCTCAATGGGATCAAAGTGCTCAAGCTGTACGCCTGGGAGCTGGCCTTCAAAGACAAGGTGCTGGCCATCAGGCAGGAGGAGCTGAAGGTGCTGAAAAAATCTGCCTACCTGGCCGCCGTGGGAACTTTCACTTGGGTCTGCACCCCTTTCCTGGTGAGTCAAGCCAACTTGATCTTGGCCCACATCATTTTATGTTTTGTTGTTTTCATGCCTGAGTTACTTCAACAAGGCCTTCTCCTATCATTCCTTTAAAAACCGTCACGCGCACCCCTTTATTTTATTCATGACACTTAGTAGCTTCCAGCACTGTCCGTCACAGGTTTCCTGTGAAACAAGGGGTTTGCGCCAGAATGTCCCCCAGCATTCTCTGCTTCCTCCATCGAGAGAATCTCGCTAAGAAGATAAATGTCAGCTGAACTAAACCGCGTGCTTCGTGCCGTGGTTGAGCTACATGATGGCGCCGGGCCCTTCTCTATTGCTGACTGGTCACAGACTGGCATCGGCTGTGCCCAGTGCTCCCCATGTCACGGGGCAATGCCAAACACACTCTAATATGTACGGGCCCTCTCCTCTGTGGTGTCTCTGTCCCCTGGAGGCCAGCTCCAGGGAGGCGGGGACTCTGCCTTTTCTGTCCGCTGCTGTGCTCTCGGTGCCTGCACTGGGGCCAGCTGGGATCAGCGGATACTTTTCATTCCTTGTAAGATAAAAACTCAAACCATGCAGGAAGCTATAAGGCAAAAAGTAAATTGTCTTCCCTCCCATCTGTCCCTCTCCTCCAAAGTGACAATTTTGTGTGTCTTTTCAGGAAAAAAAGGTCTTATGTATATAAATATTTATATAGTGGAAGGGAATCATGCTGTACCTAGTGTTCTGGCCCTTTTTTGGACTTAATTGTGTCATCTCAGTTCATGCATTCAGATCTCCCTCGTGTCTTAACAAGTGCCTGTCCAGCGCATGGAGGTGCTGTCGTCGACTCAGCCCGTCTTCCCGTCCTGGATTCTGAGGATGGTTCTCATTCTTGGCTGCTGTGATCCAGGCTGCACTGGGTGTTCCAATGTGCATGTCTCGGGGAACTGTAATGGGTCTGTCCCTGGCTGGCTAACATTGAACAGTTTAAAGGCAGCAGTGCAGGCTGTTCTCTTACAAAGGTGGTCCCAAACCAAGAGACCACATAGAGGTGGACCATGCACAGTCGATAGTTAAGAATGGTGAAGGAGGACTTCAGATGCTGCCCATGCTTATTTTGCCTTTCTGTCATTGTATTAACTGTCTCAAAGTGTTATCCTAACAACGACGATCACTTCTCAGTTATGTTGCCTTTCTGTCATTGTATTAACTGTCTCAAAGTGTTATCCTAATAACGACGATCACTTCTCAGTTATGTTGGCAAATATATGTATATTCTTGTGGGAAGTTCTATGAACTAAAAGCGCACATTTTCATAAATATGACAGTTTGCTGTTAGACTAACATCTGTTTCATCACAGCTGAGTTGCAGGTGGAATGTTTAAGGAAATGCCCATCTTTTCAGTGCTTGTTGAAGTGTGTTATTTCTGACGCTGGGTTTTATTAGGCTCAGCTTCACGTCTCCCGGAGTCTGAACCCTCATCCAGGTGGTCCACCGGGAAGCAGAGATGCTCCAACTCAAGGGCGTGTTGGAGTCACCTGGGGGCTTGTTAAAACTCAGCTCCCTGGGCTCCACCCAGAGTTTCAGGTCCATTAGGCCTGGGTGGGGCCTGAGAATTTATATTTCTAACATGTTCCCTGGTGCTCCTGATGTTGTTGGTTTGGGGTACACCTTTGGGAGCCATTGGAGTAAATTCTCACTCTTCAGAGTGTGGCCCATGACCAGTGACATCGCGTCACCTGGTGGTTCACTAGAAATGCAGACCCTCGGGCCTCCCCCAGACCAGCGGAAACGATCTGGGTTTCGGCAGTCTGCCCCCAGGTGGGCCAGGAAACAGCAGCACAGAGCGGAGTGAGCAAATATTACTTACGCCAGCTAGTAATTTTGCAGGTGTCCCGCGCCGTGTGTTCTGTGTCACAACTGCTTAAATGAATGGGTATGGCTATGTTCCCGTAAAAACTTATTTAAAGACACTGAATTTCATAGAGTCTTCATATCTCAGGAAATAGTATTATTTTGAGTTTTAAAAAAATTATTTAAGAAATGTAAAAGCCATTCTAAGCTCAGAGGCCGGGCATAAATAGGTGTGGACCACAGGCCATGGGATGCTCACGCCGGCTAGAGGAATGGAATGTTCTTCTGAGAGTCAGGACATCTGCTGAATTCTGCTGCCAGCTCACAGTGTCACCTGAAGCCGGCTGGTCTACCTTCCTGCTCTGGGTTTTCACATAGGAAACTTGAAGGGGTTAGGCCCCAGGGAGTCAGGTACAGGGCCCTGCCTCTCCCACCTCCAAGCTCACATCAGACATCCACAGTCAGACATGGTGTTCGTGCCCGCTGAGCTGTGTTCGAGAATTGCCCTAGGTGACCACTGTCCATTCAGTGGTTGGCACAGGGAGTGGCTTGGCATCTCCTAGCTGTCCTGGGACTCGGTGTTCCTACGCTCCCGCCAGCTCCAACACAGCAGCATTCCGGGCTAGAAGGTTCTGCTGTCTCCCGACCTCCCCCAGGGATTCCACGGTCCTCTTTGATTTTTAAAAGTAAAGACAGTGTAAGACTGGGTGGTAGTTATATAGGCTGTTCATTTTATTATTTTTCAAGTTGTTAAATAGTCTCTGTATGTTTCTAACTGTTTATTCTATTTTACATATGTGATACATTTCATTTAAAAAGCAGTAATGCACTTGATGGCTGTGGTAAAACTAGGTAAAGCTGTTCTAAAGGATCTGCAACAGGGTTTTGCATCCTCAGCGCTGTTGACATGTGGGACCTCGTAATTCTTGTTTCTTTGTTGTGGGGGCTGTCCTGTGCATTGGAGGGTGTTTAGCAACATTCCTGACCTCTACCCTCTAGATACCAAGGGGTGCCTCTCCTTCCGTCTCTCGAGCTGTGATGATCAAAAACGTCTCCATTTTGTTAACCATTGTCACCCCAATAAATTCAATAAAAAGGGGGAAAGTGTCTCTGGAAATTGCCATATGCCCCCCGGTTGAGAAGCACTGGTCTGCAGTGAAAGGCCCAGCTCTTCCTCCTGGCTCTTTTGTGTATTTCCAGAGAGAACCTACATATTTCAGCATAGTAGTGACTGTGTGCATAATAAATGTCATTATACTCATATATATATTTCTTCTTGTTACTCTACTTCTGCACAAGTGATAGAAAATCATACAGAAATCCAAGGTGTTTTGAATTGCAATTTTTTTTAACAGGAAAAGATCTGCAGCCAGAGGGAGCAAGTGACAGGGTTTAATCCATGGGTTGTGTTACGCTTAGGAGGGGGGATCCTTTTCCCATAACCCTTTGCTCCGCACATTCAGTCCTCTGATCTAACTGAGTTTCCAGCTTGTCACCTGAACTGTCCAGCGTGGCCTCTCACTTATCTGCTCCTGCCCTGGTCTCCGTTAGGAAGCGGTAGCAGGAGATGCTCACCAGCGGGGCTGGCTTTTCTTGTCCTTGAATTTGCCACTCAGTTTTGGGGTGCGTGCTGGGCTTCCCGCGATGGAGTTTGTTGAGCTGCTGGGCACGAAACAGATGAGCCTGGGTGTCAGTTGAGACACCGAAGCCTCTGACTACATTAGGATAAAATATGTGGCCCTTGGTTCCCTTGAAAGGTGTTTGCACGTTCGTTTCATTGGTGAATTCCTGCGCTTCAAGGAGGATGAGGTGTTTACCCTCTGGTAGGTGTGATGGAAGACAGAGGCGCAGGGAGGTCAGACGGGAGTGGGGTGCCAAGTGGTAGGATTGATGGGACTGTTTTTCTAGGATACAGAGCCTGGCATTTATCATGTCCGCTTAATGCACTTTCCTAAAATAGTGTCCCCAGGCAGCCGGCAATATTTAGCATTTTCCATCTTGGAAGATTTGTGAGCTTCTTGCTGCCTACTTACCTTGTATCTCCCTTCATTAGATAACTACCGTTCCAGGTGGTGATTGTGTAGTTCTTTGCTGACCAGATCATATGTGGATCTTGTGGTTTTTTTTGCTTGTATCCTAGAACACTGGGGACTTGGCAAACGGTGCACATTCAGAAAGTGTATGTAGAGGAATGAATGAATGAAATATGTGAGTAAACTATTAGGAACTATCTCCAAGAGGCAGAAACCTAACTCAGATCTATTAGAGGGGAAAAAAAAGAAAGGGGGATTTTTGAGTCACAATACTGAAAAATCTAGGAAAGTGCTGGTTTTAAGTATGGCTAAGGTTTCAGGTATGGCTGGATCTAGGTGCTCTAAAGATCTCTCAGTAACTCCTGTGAGGAGACAACCCCTCTTTCCCTGTTAGTTCCTGCAAAGCTGTGGGATAGAGTCTCATTCATTGCCGTTGGCTCCATGCTTATCCTGAATCACTACAGCCAGGGAGATGAGATGCTTGGATTGACCAGGCCTGCCTGGGTCATGAGCTTGGGTTGGGTTTTGGGCTGAAGCTCATAAACTGAGATTAGGGGGAGGTTCAGTTCCCCAAAGGAAAATTGAGATGTTACCAGCACCAGGAGAATGGATGCTGGGCAGGCAGAAAGAACAGGTATTCACACAAGCAGCTGTCAGGTTTTTTAGGGATTAGGCTGGCACAGACGGTTCAGTCATTTGCCACACTTCTCAGTGGCGACACCATAGTACTTAGAGTGAGACAGGCGTTCTTTGTTCATGAAGGATTTCTCCCATTCTTGACCCTCACCCATTACAAGGTGATAGCAAACCCCAGCTCCCTACTACCTACTACAGTGATACCTCGGTTCTCGAACGCCTCGGATTTCGACCAAATCGGTATTCGACCAGGAGATTCGAGAAACTTTTGTCTCGGAATCCGAACAAATATTTGGAACTCGAACTTCCGAGATGAGCCGAGTTGAGCCGAATGGCGTTCATTCGGCCCAGTGCGCCTTGCTGGCGTCATCAGTGTGAGTGCAGAGAGAGAGTCACGCTTTACACTGAATTTAACCCTTAGACATACTGTACACTTTTATTTCTTGTTGAGACTTATGTTTTTCTACATATTATATACAAATTAGGCCAGTAAATAGGCATTTTCTGGGGCTTGGAACGAATTAATCCAGTTTCCATTATTTCCTATTGGGTTTCATTGCTTCGGTTCTCGAACAATTTGGTTCTCGACCGTCCTCCTGGAACGAATTATGTTCGAGAACCGAGGTATCACTGTACCTCAGTCACCTTCACACACTTCCAAACACTCCCTGAGAGAGCAAGCCGAGTAGTGCTCCCCATGTCCTGCTAGACTGTGAGTCTCAGTGAGACAGATAGGCTACTCCCTGGGCCTAGCTGGCAGGAAGCCTGGAACCCATTAATTGCCCCAATGTTTTCTTTTCTCCTAACAGCCAATTAGCAGCTAGACTGAAGGACACTGTTTTCTGCAAGATTTACTTCGATGGGCTTAAATGTGGTTCCTTTCACTAACCCGTGCACGCTGGCCAGATAGACTGTCCTTTTGGTGACCTTCCCTCATTTCAATGCTAAAAACACACCCCTGGGTGGAGATTTAATATGCTGATGAGATGTGACGCATGAAGAAGCATGTGGTTACACTACACAAGTGCCTAAGAGTCCCCATCTCTGCATATTTAGATGTCATACTCAGATGTCATCTTTTCTGCTTCAACTTCTGTAAAACTGTTCCCTGGCTTTTGTTGGGGGAGCAACATTTCCCTTTCTCCCTTTATTGTCTCCCATGACGCAGGAGCTATATATAACCAACCTCTTGCCTGAGTACTACCTTATGGGAACTCTCTTGATTTCTATCTCGGGAGCTCCCAAGAATCTAGGGGGTTCATTGGTAAAATTCTCTCCTGCCCCCCGGGTTCAATTCCTGGCCAGTGCACCAGGCTCTACATTGGTTTCCTGCGATCTCTTGATTCTGTCCTGGGAGACTGCAAGAACCTAGGGCGCCGGTAATGTCGTGATCTCCGTGCTTGCCTCACCTCTGGGCACACAGTGCTGGCACATGGTAGGTGCCCAATTAGTAATTGATGGATGAATGAATGACCTCCTCTCCCTGGAGAAGCCAGAGCTGTGGGTCCGATGGGGGCCATGTGACGTAGCTCCCTCTGTACTTGTGCCCCCTGCTGCCGGTAGCTGCCCCGCCATCGGGGCCTAGGGAGCTGGTGTGTTCTGGTGGTGAGATCCTCTCCTGAGTCTTGGTTTTCTCCGCTGCTGAAGAGACACACATCTGAGTGGATGCTCTCCTGCCTTCAGGAAATCTATCCACTTACTTACCCACCCATCTGTCTATTCGTCCATCCATCCACCCACTTGCAAACATTACCTGAGCATCTGCCCTGATCCAGGTGCTGTCCTAGGCACTGAAGATAGAGCAAGACCACGACAGACAGGACTCCCTGCCCTGAGGGGAGTGTTCATTCATTCATTGGGAGAGGCAGATGGTAAACAACAGGCATGATAAACACATCATACAGTGTGCTAAACTGTTGTAAGAGCTGGGAGTGGGGGTTGGGTTGGGTTAGAGCCATAGGGAAGTCTTTCAGTTTTAAATAGGATGATTGAGGACCTCGTTGAGAAGATGACACTTGAGTCTTTACCTGATGGAGGTGAGGGGCCCCACCAGGAGAGGAAGAGTGAGTGCAAAGGCCCCGGCTGGACTTGGCCTGTCCCATAGAAGGAACAGCCATGGAGGCCAGCGGGGCTGGAACAGAGGGAGCGCGGGAGAGAATGGTTAGAGGAGGCCAGACAAGTCACAGACGGGATGGTTACAAAGCAGCTGGGCCCAGGGCCCAAGTCAAAACTTGAGCTTGTCATAAGCAAAAGGGACTGACTTTGGAGAGGTGGGGTTTTTTAAAAATGATTTTGTTATTTTTATTGAGATATAATTCACCACTTTTAAGTGTAAAATTCAGTGGTGTTTAGCCTATTTACAGGGTTGTACGACTATCACCGCTCTCTGATCCCTGAACATTGTCTGTCCCAAAAGGAAACCCTCGTTGGCAGTCACTCCCCACTCCCTCCACTCCCCCAGCCCCAGGCACCCGCTCTCTGCGTCCTGCTCTGTAGATTTGCCCACGCTGGACATTTCCTATAAATGGAACCGTATTACCATGTGGCCTCTTGTGTGCGTCTTCGCGTTCTCAGGGTCGCTCATCCTGGAGGGTGTGTCAGTGCTTCATCCTTTCTGTGCTGCAGACTCTTCCTGTGTGGGGGAGTTTGGGGTGAAGAGTGCCCGTGGATAAGAAGAGGTCGCTGGCCGGAAGAGGGGGGCGAGTGTGTGCAGACGAGGGGCTCCCCTCCCTCTTGGCTGTGGAGCCTGGAAAGTCTGTGTGCCTAGTCTCGGGGTCATCCAGCTTGTGAGTGTCAGAGCCAGGCCTCGCTCTTGGAACCGGTTTATAGATTCTTTGGAAGAACAGTCCGAGGAGTTTGGACTGAGTTTTGTAACAAGAAATAACAACAGCTGCCATGTACTGCATTTTGCTGGGCACTGTGCGCTGGGCACTGGGCGGAGCCCTCCACCCTAGCGCCCGCCTTCCCCATGCAGCAGCCCTGCAGCGGTGTGTCTGGTTCCCGGTTTGTAGAGGGGAAAATAGAGGCTTGGAGGAGCGAGGTGGCACACCCATCTGGTGTGTGGCTGAATTGATGGTTTTAATTTTTTTTTTTTTTTTTATCCTCACCCGAGGACATTTTTCCATTTTTTGTTCAGATAGAGCGGGAGGGAGAGAGAGGAAGAGAGAGAGAGAGAAACATCGATGTGAAGGGACACATCGAGTGGCTGCCACCCACACGACCAACCAGGGCCGGGGACAAACTGTAACCGAGGTACGTGCCCTTAGCGGGAACCGAACCCGGGTCTCTCTGTACCGCAGGCCGACGCTCCAACCACTGAGCCAAACCGGCCAGGGCGATGGTTTTAATTTTTAAGCTTTACAACCTTCTGATAGGTAACAAAGAAATGAGGCGGCTGAGACCTTGGAACCTCCCGCCTTCCAGCAGTCTGCTCTGAGCGCAGAAAGGCAGGGCCCGGGCAGTTTATAGCCTCCCCCCAGCCCCGCTGCCCCCCATGATTCTAGGAGTCTGGGCTAGCACAGGGCTGAGAACTTCTGTTCATCCACCAGGTCCAGAGTTCCCCAGATGGCTTCTGCTTGTATGTACCAGGTGATCCCAGGGGATCCTGTTGTTCACCTCCCCAGGTGCCACCTGGCACTGCTCTGTCCCCAGCATTGAGGGAGGAGTTAGAAATCCACCCATTGATCTTTTTCCTCCCCGCTAAGCCAAGCAGTCTGGCTCTGGATTATTCCCTGGGTCCCCCATTTCTCCTGGTGAGGAGGTAACATGCTGTCATCTCTAATAACTGACCAAATTCTGGTCACCTGGGTAGTAAAATCGCAAGGCCTAAGGCCAGTGTGACTGCGGAGAAGGGAGTGGCTGTTTGTTTTCTTTTCCTTTTTTTGGAAAAAGTAAGTCTTGCTGTCCTCGGGGTATAAAACCACATAAAACTTTATGCACTGGAAGGAACTTTGAGCAGCGGCATTAATTCTCCACCTTCACCTGTTTCACAGATGAGACAGCTGAGGCATGGGGAGCGGCGGCAACTCGCCCAAGGTCTTAGTCAGTGTTCCTGTGTCCCAGGGACTGTTCTGGGCACCAAGGAGGCAGTCAGTCGTGCGCAAGACGGTGTCCCCGCCTTGGTGGAGTTTACATTTCGATGCAGGAGCCAGCCAGGACATACACGTAACACCGCACTAGGAGGTGTTGATGGGTGCTCTGCAGAAACATGACCAGGATAGGAGGGTGGAGAGCGGTGCGGGCTGTTTCAGGTGGAGGGTGGGTAAGGCCGAGGAGCCCAGCTGCCACGCGGATGGGAAGGTTGTTCAGGCAAAGGGAACTTTGCAAAGGCCAAGGCCCCGAAGTGAGATTCTGCCCGGTGTCGAGGAATCCCAGTGTGCCTCGGAGAGAGCTGGTGGGAAAGAGGGTAATCTCAGCTCCCGGGCATCATTTACCCAGTTCATTCTCTGTTCCGTGAGCACCTGTCGCCTGCCTTGGGTGTTTTCTGCTGCCTCCAGCCAGTCGTCGGTCATTGCAGCTCACGTGGGGAGGGCCTGAACACAAGGCTTGGGGAGTGTAACTGCTCCTAGATGGTGACCGACTCGAGTCAGTGACGGGCCTTCTGCTTGCAGGTGGCCCTGTGCACGTTTGCCGTCTACGTGACCATCGATGAAAACAATATCCTGGACGCCCAGAAAGCCTTTGTGTCCTTGGCCTTGTTCAACATCCTCCGTTTCCCCCTGAATATTCTCCCGATGGTCATCAGCAGCATCGTGCAGGTACGGGGCACTTCAGGGAGGGTTCTCGGGGTGGGGCCAGAACAAAAGGGGCCACAGCCCCGCTGGAGGCAGCGCCCTGGGCTTCTCACGCCTCTGCGCCCGGTGGGCGTGGCGAGGCCTGGACTGGTGGCTTTCCTGCCTTCCCGTCGCACCCCAAGAAAGAAACATTTCCGTTTTAATTCTTGACAGGCAACTCACACTTTGGTATGTGAAACTAAAGGTTAATGCTCCGGGCTTTCCGTGCTCTGCAAGATTCTTTCTGAAAGGTTTTCTTCTGTCCACTCTGCTCTGTCCACCCTGCCTGTCCCCTGTTCTAGCTTTTCAGACTTGCATCTCTTGACCCATTAAATTGATTTCACCAGCCACTAATAGGCCTTGACCCACCATTTGAAACACCACAACCTAGACCCCTCCCAGGATTCCTAAAATTCATGCAGTGACTAAGGAGTCACATTCTGTCACACTTTTACTGTTAGAGACTCCGGCCACTTTCCTGCCCGTCATATTTTTCACACTCCTCTCCCTCGAGCTGTGCATATTCATGTTGAAAACCCCGCTTTCAGCCCTGGCCGGATTGGCTCAGCGGTTAGAGCGTCGGCCTGCGGTCCACAGAGACCCGGGTTCGGTTCCCGCTAAGGGCATGTACCTTGGCTGCAGTTTGTCCCCGGCCCTGGTTGGGTCGTGTGGGTGGCAGCCACTTGATGTGTCCCTTTCACGTCGATGTTTCTCTCTCTTCCTCTCTCTTCTTCCCACTCTATCTGAATAAAAAATGGAAAAATGTCCTCGGGTGAGGATAAAAAAAAAAATTAAAAAAAAAAAAAAAGAAAACCCCGCTTTCAGCCACACAGACAAATCAGTCTTAAGATTTGGTTTATAACTCTGGTTGTAGGCTTTATTAAAAAAATAAAACCAAAAAAAAGCAAATAACACCCCTTGTTATTATGAAACATTTCAAATTTACACAGAAGTAGAGACTAGTATTATGAATCTTGTGTACCTGTCACCCAGATTCAACATTTTGTCATACTGGCTTTATCTGATCCTGTTTCCGTCTTCCTCCCTCCCTCCCTTGTCCTTCCCTCCCGTCATTCCTTTTTTTCTTTGCGGGAAAATTTTAAAGCAAATTGAAGACCTCCTGGCAGTTCATCCATAAATACTTCAGCATGCATTTCTTCTATCATGCCTAACAAAATTGTCATTTCTTTTTTTAAAAGTATGTTTTTATTGATTTTTTAGAGAGAGAGGAAGGGAGAGATGGAAACATCTGTAGGCTGCCTCCTGCACGCCCCCTACTGGGGATTGAGCCCACAGCCTGGGCATGTGCCCTGACTGGGAATGGAACTGGGACCTCTCAGTCCATGGGACAACGCTCAGTCCACTGAGCCACACCAGCCAGGCAACAGTTACTTCTTAAAATAATACTCAGTCCATATTAAAATTTTCTGTATTTGTTGGTGGCAGCGGGAACCACACCAGCTATTAGACCGGTGGGGTCAGACTGGTCCTGGGTTCAGCAACCTCGGTACTTGAGTTCTGGCCTGGAAGAAATTCAGAGCCAAGACTCAAACTATGAGAGAATATTTATTTATAAGATCACAGAGGTGGAAGAAGTAATTCGTAGAAGAAATGGGCTTAGGAAACAAGTTATAGAGGTAAAGGGAGAGCCCTTGGACTTGGAAGTGAGGAAGGTAAAGGTGGCGTGCCTGGGGGGGGGGGGGGAGTGGGGGGGGTGCTGGAGTGCTCTCAGGAGGGAAATGCTCTGTCCTCAGTCCTAGGGTTTTAAGGGGAGGTCCAAGGGGGAGATCTCAGCGGAATAGCCAACAGATTTCTAGGTGTGTCCTTTCAGAGTCAGGGCCTCCACTGATTGATTAGTTGGCGCCAGGGCAGGGGTCATTATCCAGTGCAGCTGGCCCTGAGGTCAGCCATGGATTTGCTGCTTTTCTGCACCTGAAGCTGAAATACAGCTGAGGGTTAGATGTTATCTCTAGGGAGGAAAGGTCAGGGGTCTGAACCTTGTAAGACCAGTGATATGCTAGGTGAGGAAAGGTTACCCTGGGGGCAGGATCACACCCTACAATTGCCCCTTGCTAGACACCCAGGGCTTTCTGCCCTGGTGACCTTCTGTTCCTGGCTCATCACCCTTGCTCTGCTCATGTCTGTCTAACCTACCACCATTGATGTCTTGACAGTGGGCTGTCTGCATCAGAACTATTGTATGTGTTGTTTTTTTTTAATCCCCACCCGAGGACACTTTTGCATTTATCCTCCGATAGAGCAGGAGGGAGAAAGGGAGGAAGAGAGAGAGAGAAACATTGATGTGAGAGAGACACATCGAGTGGTCACCACCCACATGACCCCAACCGGGGCCGGGGACAAACTGCAATCGAGGGGGGTATGTGCCCTTAGCGGAAACCAAACCTGTGACTCTTTGGTCCGTGGGCCGAAGCTCTAACCACTGAGCCAAACTGGCCAGGCTGTATGTATTTTTTAAATTTATTTTTATTGGGATATGTTTGACATATAACACTGTAAGTTTAATACTACACTGACACATTGCAATACATTTACCACCAGTGTCAGACAACACCTCTGTCACATCACATAATTATCATTTCCCTTTATGTGACAGGAACAATTAAGATCTAGTCTATTCGCCACTTTGAGGTCTGTAACCCAATACTTTTGGCTGGTCACTATGCAGCTCATCCAGTGTCCAGGACTTGTTGATCTCCTCACTGCACGTTGGTGGCCTTAAACGGGCCATTGCTTTGGTTATTATGTTTCTTAAGTCCCTTTGCATCTAGGACAGTCCTTTTTAATACCAGTTGTGGGATTTTGAAGGAAACCAAGCAAGAACCAAAACCTGTGTTACTTCTTATTCTAAGGTGCATGCTGGTTGTGGGAAACGCAGAGCCTTCAGAAACGAGGGGTGTGGGCCCTTCGCACCCAGGGGAAACCACTGAATGTTAGCCTCGGGTCTGTTTTGCAAAAATGCTTTTAAAAATAACTGCACTCTATAATTGCTTCCTGTGTAGGCGAGTGTCTCCCTCAAACGCCTCAGGATCTTTCTGTCCCACGAGGAGCTGGAACCTGACAGCATCGAGCGACGGCCCATCAAAGACGGTGTGTGCGTTTGGCCCCTCTGCCGGAATGGCCCCCCTCCCCGTGGCTGTCCATTTGGCTCTGCCCAGCAGCTTGTCTGCCGGGCCTTGGGGCAGGCCCTCTGCAGAGTCGGGGGACCCTGGGGCTTACCTTGCACCTCCCAGGAGGGTACATGTGCACTTCTGCTTTCTTGCTGAGAGGCAGCCAGTGGTGGAGGCCTCCCCCTGAAGGTCGGCTCTCGGGGGACCTAGACTTTAATGCCATCTTCGGCAGACACACAAATAGAACTAGGCTGATGGAGACTGACGAACCCCCAACACCTGTTAGCTGTGTGTACTTGGGCAGGTCACCCCACTGCTCTGAGCCTCAGTTTCCCCATTTGGATAAAGGGATTGAAGGTACTTTTCTTCGGCAAGGGGTTATGTGGATTTTTATTGGTGGGTTCGCTTATTTTGCAGCTTATTAATTTATCCTTTCCCAGTCAATGCCCCTGACCAGGGGTCTGGTCCATGGCTGTGTCTCCAGGCACTTAATGGTCACCTTTAATAGCACCAACAGCAGCGGCCACTTCCATGTCAGTGACACTCCCTCCGTGGGCGTTCTGTTCTAAGGACATCCGTGACATAACCTGTCTGCTGCTCCCTGCGGCACCGAAGGGCTGTAGAAACCCTCATTCTGCAGCTGAGGCAATGGGCCCCAGTGACTTGCCCAGATTGCACAGCTAACACGGAGTAGAGTCAGGATCCACACTGGCGGCCAGTCGTCGGAACCTGTGCTCTTGCGCGCAGAGATTTATGGAGCACCCTCTGTGCCAAGCCCTGTGCGAAGGACTCTGAGTATTGCTTCATTTACTCCTCATCACAGCCCTGTGATGTTAATATCATTTTTATCAGTTCTGTTTTGCAGATGAGGAAAGTTAGGCCCAGAGGAGTTCGGTAACTTGTCCATATCTATCCAGCTAGGAAGTGGCAGTATAGGGATTTGAACCCACACAGCCCAATACAGGTAGTCAGAGGAATGATGTATGTATATGTTGGTTACAGTGTGGGAGCAGTGCCTGGCACCTAGGAGGTTTTCTCAGCACCGTGCCCGCTAAGCTAGTAAAGGTGGTGGTCGTCACTTCTCCGGTGTGAGGGAGAAGACAGACTGCGGCGTTTCCAACGCAGCCTCCGCACGGCTGAAGTTCTGGCGGGTCATGCTTTGCTCTGGCGCTGATCATAGGACGTCGAGCAGCATCCCTGGCCTCTGCCCACTAGATGCCAGTGGCCCACGCCCCAATTTTGACCACCAATGATGTCTCTAGACATGTCCCTTGGGGAGCAGAGTGACCCCCACTTGAGAACCAGTGCTCGCTGGATGCCGGAGTCTTCCTGTTTTCCCTGGCCTGTGGTCGTCCAGCTCCTGCTGCCCGGGGAGCAGTGCCATCTGTGCCAGGGTTACATTTCTCCGCGCAGCACAGGGCTGAGGTTTGGAGCTGTCGAGGCTCACGGCTCACTGCGGTGTCAGGATGGAAAGCCCCGGCCTCCTGGTGCCCTGCAGGTCAGCCCCTCCCTTCCTGCGCGGTGGCAGGCTCCTGGCATTTTGACTTTCTGAGATGTTTATCCACACCTCCAGGTGCCAGACCCTGCCACCTTGTCAGCTTTCGCCCAAGTCTCATGGTTCACTAGCCTGTCAGACTCAAGTGGCCTTTCTTAAATTCCTTAAATAGCACTTTCCAGTTTCCTTCTCGTTCTGTTTTCGGGGGGGGGGGGCTGTGGGGGGGGCATGGGGTGGGGAGGAAGGGAAAAGGCTGAGTTAGGTTAACCAGTAACTTCCTCTCACCACAAGTTTTTGTTTCTTTGATTATTTTTTCATTTGATAACTGGAAAACACCCCCATCTTATCTCACGGTGGTTTTAAGATGGCTCATAATTAGAGTCAAAGTTGTGTTTTCTTAAGTGAGGGGCATGGGTAAAAGGAAAATCAGGGAAGGGAGAGTGAATGAGGACAGGGGTGCCTAGAATCACGTGAGCCCTGCATATAATGCAGGCTTTGTCTTCAACACCCCTCCCTCTGCCCTGATACCCCACTTCCTAGTCCAGGGTCTGCTTTTCTGTGCTGATTGTGACTGCTGCTTTAGAAAGACCAGCCTTGAGGTGCGCAGGGTGGTGAAGGGAGAGAGGGAGCGTGCAGGGGGTGAGTTAGGAGGCAGCCCTGGAATCCAGGAGTTGCGAGGGTCCTGCTTCGACCGTGAAGAAGAGGCCCTGGGGTGTGGTGAGGGCCGAGCGCAGCCCATGCTGATGGAGAGACCTCTGTGCGGAGGGTGCTGCTGGTTGCCATTGGTCTTGGCTTCCGCTCGGTGCTCCCAGCCAGAGCTGACGGAACCTCCCCAGACAGGGCAAGGGCGGTCCCTGGAGCCTGTGTAACCTTGTGGGTCCCCCCGCCTCTGCGAGGTGGGCGTCCGGATTGCACAACCCCCTGACTTTCAAGGTGGAGCCCTCTTGTGGTTTCCTTTTGCTTTCCTCCAAAACTGCTGGTTGGGTGTTTCTTTAGACATGAGACAGCTGTAACCAAATAATGCCTAGCGGAAGTGTCTAGCCTCGGGTTGAACTGTGCTTGATTAGGAAAAAAAGTCAGAGCTTCTTACTCACTCTCAGCCCCGTGACTTTGTCTGTGCCTGACCTTCTGTATCTGGTGCTTTTCAGGTGGCAGCTCGAACAGCATTACTGTGAAGAACGCCACCTTCACGTGGGCCAGGAGTGACCCTCCCACACTGAACGGGTAAGCCAGGAGGTGGAGAGAAGCACAGGGCTCTGGTCAAACACGGGTTCAAATCCTAGCCACGCTCCAGCTCATGACCTCGACTAGGTCGCTTTGCCTCTCTGAGCCTCAGTTTACTCATCTGGGAAGTTGAGTAAAGCAGTCACATCTGCTTGGCCTTTGGTGAGGAGCAGACGAGAGTGTGCCTGGCGCAGAGGATTTCCTTTAATTGTAAGTGACAGACACTGCACAGTTAGGCTTAGGCAAGAAAGGGAGATTTTTGGTGCACATAACTGAGAAGGGCCACTTTCAGGTACAGTGTGATCCAGGGACTCAGTGCCATCAGGATTCTCTCCATCTTGTCTTTGTTCTGCTTCCCTCATGCTGCTTCCCTCTCAGAAGGCGTCTCCCCTCTTGATGGCAAATGGCCCCCATCGACTCCAGGTGCACCTACTTCATCAGAAGACCTGCCTGCCTCTGAGTGGCCCAGTCTGGGTCACATGCCTCCTCCTGAGCCAATTACTGTGCCAGGAGAGACCCAGCACACTGGCTAAGTTGGTCCCAGGCTGTGATGCTGTGATGCTGATGGTGGTGGCAGGCCGGCTTGGGTCTGTTGAAAGGAACTTTGTCCACTGGGATTTGCTATCGGGATGGAATTGTTCTCTGTCCTTCCCAGGGTTCCCCAGTGACCTGGCTCAGCCTTTCTCACCCACTCCTCATCTGGTACCTTACCCACAAAGCTCAGCATGTGCAGGGAATTGACCTGGTTCCCGGGCAACTTGTCAAGTGCTGCTTTTTTCCTTCTGACTGGTGGCCTTGCTCAGTGGCTTCTAGGCCTCCTTAAGGAGCCCCAAACAGAGGGCCCGAAGGGGCCTCTGTAGAGGCCAAGTTTGCCTCCCATGTCTTCCTGGGTAGCAAGTTCCTCTGGTATTTATTTGAGGGGAGGGTGCTGGGGGTAAAGGACAAGCTTCCCAGAGAAAAGGGTCTGTAAAATACCTCCCCTGAAAATTCACGGTGGGATTGCATGTTTAGGAAGTTCTTCCTTATGTCTAACTCTACTCCTGCTGGCTTCAGTTTTAGCTTTTCTCTCTTGTTCTACTCCACAACTAAACAATCTGTCTCTGTGCCCTCTTCCTTTCCTCTGTTCTCCAGAATCAAAGGCTTTCCTGTTCCAGTCTCCCTCCCCCACCTTGACTTCCCAAATCTTTCTCCATCCAAACTTTCTCTCTCCTCAGCCTATAAAAATATTCCAGTTTCTTGCCCTGGTCGGTTTGGCTGAGCATTTAGAGTGTCGGCCCGCGGACCAAAGAGTCACGGGTTTGATTCTAGTCAAAGACATGTATCTCGGTTGCAGTTTGGTCCCCAGCCCTTTTCGGGGTCGTGCGGGACGCAACTGATCCATGTCTCTCTCTCTCTCTCATATCGATGCTTCTCTCTCTCTCTCTCTACCTTCCTCTCTCTCTACCTTCTACTCTATCTGAAGATAAATGGAAAAATATCCTTGGTGAGGATGAAAAAAAAAAATTCCAGTCTCACCTGGATGATTGCAAGAGCTGCTTCCCTGGGCACTGTAACCCGTTCCCCTTACTGCACAGGAACAAAAGAATAATCAGTGTGACTATGCAGCAGGTCCCCAAGAGTTAAACAGTGAGTGGCAGCAAAATCTAATAGTATTTTCACTAATACATTGGAAATCACAATAGCAGCCGTGGAAAAGCACAGGCCATGTGAGTAAACCCGCAATGCCCTGGTCGTGTGCCCTTCCCTGGTGGGTGGCATCATAGCTCTGACATGTCGCGTGACAGCCAGTCTTACTGACAGAATGTCAAGCTTATTTTCTTGTACTTTGCTTACCAGTATCTGTCAAAGGGCAATTTCCGTAGAGACCTGTTTCTGAAACTCACGTTCATCCATGTCAAGGTCCCTTTCAAACCCTCAGTGGCTCCTTCAGGTCCCCTCAGGCCTGGCCACCACCCTCCCACCTGTAGGACTTCCCTGTCCTCCCTGCTTCCTCCTCTGTCATTGACACGTCCATCCCTGATCACACTATTATTCACAGCCCCTGCCTTTTCTTAAGCTGTTCCCGGTTTCTGTGTCTGGCACGCGCTCTTCCTTCCCAGTCGTTCTGAGGTGTCCTCTCCCCCAGGGCACCCGTGTTGTGCCCCGGGCATTGGGCTGATCACTCTGGCCTCCCGCGCTGGCATCTCAGCGCCTGGCCTGGGCCTCCCACAAGGAAGGCCTGAGCCTGTCCACTGACCCGAGCTCAGCAGCGGACACGCGGGAGGGAGTTCCAGATCTCAGAGGCTCGTGACAGCCCTGCCTTCCGCCTCAGCTTCCATTCGGGGTACATCCGGCTCTGGGGGCTGGCCTCATCCAGGTGAGAGCATGACCGAGGCGCTGTGTGTTGTGTCTTTGCAGCATCACCTTCTCCATTCCAGAAGGTTCCTTGGTGGCCGTGGTGGGCCAGGTGGGCTGTGGAAAGTCGTCTCTGCTCTCCGCGCTCTTGGCCGAGATGGACAAGGTGGAGGGGCACGTGGCTATCAAGGTAGGAGGAGGCGTGGGTGGAGGGCCTCGGGTGGCAGATGGCCTGAGAGGAAGGTTTCCTTTCACTGTGGGCCCTGTGCGTCCTCTCTCTGCTTCTGTCTGCTCTTCTCCGCGCCGTCCTCGAGAAGTGCCGTTTACTTCCCGCTGTATCCCAGCACCTGGAACGGTGTCCAGCAGGTAGCGGGCCCTCAGTGAGTGCTTAGTACACGCACAGATGTCCCGGGTCTGCACCGTCTCCACTCCCGCCCCACCTCTGCCCCTCGGTGTGCGCCTGGTCTCTGTGTCCCTGCGTCTTCCGGCTCGTTCTCTCTGCGGATCTCTTTTTGTAAAAGTAACAAAACTTAAAACTTTTGATTTATGTCACTGGAATGTGATCTTAGAGAATTCTTTTTAAGGGAACTGTTTAAATTCTGTGTTCATTGAATTCTTAATATGGGGCTAAAACAGACTGTGGTTTTACTGCTTTTAAATACACAGAGTGTTTTGAACTAAGCTGATATGTTCCTCAAGAGAGTGTCTAAGAGGCTGCTTTAGTGAGCAAATGAGTCCTCTAGAAATCAAGTCTCGCCCTGGCCAGTTTGGCTCAGCGGTTAGAGCATTGGCCACGGACCAGAGCTGCAGGTTCAGTTCTGGTCAAGTGTACGTACCGTTCAGTCCCCAGCCCTGATTGGGATCGTGTGGAAGGCAACAAATCAGTGTTTGTCTCCCACTGATGTTTCTCTCTCCTTCCTTCCCTCCCACTTCTATTTAAAATCAATGGGAAAATATCCTTGGGTGAGAATTTAAAAAAAAAGAAATCAAGAGTCTTGTTTTACATTTAGCTCACTCCGCATAATGGCCTTTTCCTAATGTAGGAATACCTCCCTCGAAGTTTTGTTGACACCAGCGTTACCTGGAGTGGTGGCTGCAGCAAACTCATTCTGTGGGATGTTTTGGGAAATACTGCATACTCTGATTCCCCTCCCTCTTGGAGACTTAGAACAAGCATTAATAAAGTACAGGCTCTGAGAAGTCCTGCAAGGTGAAAATAACCTATTTAACTTTGGTTAACCCAACATAGCCCAGACATATGTGCCCACACCTCTGTATTATTGTCTATGCAGCAACTAGTTACATCCCCAGAATCACTGTCTCTTAGAATCTGCTCTTGGGATGTTGGTTTATGCCATTGTTTTTATTACAGTGCAGAATCCTGTCTTTGTTGACTATATGATGCCCTTTAGCCTAATGCACATTAGTAGAAAGTATACATTACAGTAGTTGGATTCAAACTAATAACATCTAGCTGTCGTTTTAGGAAATGTTCTGTCATTACTTTTAAGTACATGTTTTGAAATAAGATCAACATGAGGTGAGTTAATGAAAGAAAATTACAAATTGTGGTAGGACCTGCACTGCATTCTGTTTCACGAACCCTGGATTTCCCCACCTGCAGCACTATTGACATTTTGGGCTGGATACTTCTCTGTCATGGGCTGTCCTGTGCATGATAGGGTGGTTAGCAGCATCCCTGGCCTCTACCCACCACATGCCAGTAGAAGCATGTCCCCTGGAGAGCAAAATTACCCCAAGTTGAGAACCATTGCTTTATAGGAAAAAGCCTTTATGTACAAAAGTGATGGATGTGGAATTTGAGGGTGCGCTGAGTATTTGGTTTGATGAGGTTACAGGCCTATTGTGACAAATTCTTTTGCCCCACTAAAGGGATGCTGAGCCCTCTTCTCATAGCTTTCTTTCTTTTTTTATTGATTTTAGAGAGAGAGGAAGTGAGAGGGAGAGAGGCATAGAAACATTGATGAGAGAGAACATCGATTGGCCGCCTCCTGCATGCTCCCCACTGGGGATTTGGCCCACAACCTGGACATGTGCCCTGACTGGGAATCAAACCGGCGACCTCTTGGTGCGTGGGTCGATGCTCAACCACTGAGCCACACCAGCTGGACTTCTCATGGCTTTCTTGACACCATACGTTGTGTGGGAGTGACGACAACAGCTTTTGAAATGCACGATTTTGATACAGAAGTCCCTGCTTAAATTTCATCAAGGAAATTTCCTCAAGAAATGCTTTCCTGATGTTCCCAACGAGGTGTTGCTTTTTAAAGGACTGTTTAAGTGTTTTTTTCTCTCTTAGATTTACCACAACTGTAGTCAAATAACTTTTTAATCGTGTCAGGAATTTCCCATTCTTTGTAGGCAGGAGCTTAGTTCACTGATGGAGGCATTCAGTGAAGATTCACCAACTGCAAACTGTAATCTCACCAGTGAGGGTTTCAGCTCTTGAACTCCCGATGTTGGTCAGTGTGGGTTCTGATCTCGGCTCTGGCTTCTGTTGTCCTTTGTGCCTCAACTTCCCTCTTATTGAAACAGTGGGTGTGAAGAAGGGCTTTTCTGGCATCTGGGAGAGCTAGCTGGCTGCGGTCTGTTAACCATGTCTGTCTCTCTCTCTTGCTTTCTTCCCATCTGCCACAGGGCTCAGTGGCCTATGTCCCCCAGCAGGCCTGGATTCAGAATGATTCTCTCCGAGAAAACATCCTGTTTGGACGCCAGCTCCAGGAACGGTATTATAAGACAGTGATAGAAGCCTGTGCCCTCCTCCCAGATCTGGAAATCCTGCCCAGCGGAGACCGCACAGAGATTGGTGAGAAGGTCAGTGCTTCTTCAGCATGGCGCCTGTGACAGTCAGCCACTGCTGCGTGACAGTCACACAGGCAAACCCAGCTCAGGGATTCATGGCGTTAAACACTTATTCCCGTATTTGTGGGTGTGTGAGTCGCCTGTGATTGGCTGGCCCAGGCTGGGCTCAGCTGGGTGACTCTGCTCCCTGTCGCAGGCTGGCTGAGCTTGGCTGCAGGTGGTGGGTTTGGCTCAGGTCTGCCCCTCATGGCTTCTTGCCGGGGCCTAGGCTGAGGGGCAAACTCTTCTCATGGTGACAGCAGAAGCCCAAGAGAACAAAAAGGAATGTGATGTCCCTTAAAGCACACTGTTCTTTCCACCACAGAGTGGATGGGTCACTTGGTTGAGCCCAAAGACACGGGACCAGCAGGTGAGCTCTGTCTTTGTAGTCATGTGACTACAAAGTCCCATGACAAAGGGTACTATACAGGGAGGAGCAGTGTCAATGATTCAGATGTCCAGTCTCTTTCAGAACGGTGATAATAATAAAATAGCTAACACTCTGAGCATTTGCTATGTTCCAGGCACTGTGCCACAAATTTCACACATGTTTTGTCTTCACACCAAGACTATGAGAGGGGATTTACTGTTTTCCCTATTTAGTGGTTGAGAAAAGGGGGTAGGAAGAGGCTAAGTGACTTGTCTGGGCCCCTTCCCACCTCCGGGCCTTTGCACATGCTTTTCTGCCCAGCCAGCTTATTTTGGCACTCCCTGGTGGTCATGTGGTGTGCACTTGGCAAATGCAAATATTCCACAGTCACACCAAAGAACTTTCCTGTCTGTTTTTAGTTACAAGCCAATGGCTGCACCAGCTTTCTTAGTTGATGAATGATTTATTTTATTTAAGGGAAATCTGCACATCAGCTTTTTTCTTTTTATTATTATTTTCTTTATTTATTAAAAATTTTTTTTCTATATTGATTTTAGAGAGACAGGAAGGGAGAGGGATAGAGAGATTGAAACGTGGATGAGCGAGAACACCGATTGGCTACCTCCTGCATGCCCACAAGTAGGGCCTGTGCCCTGACCAGGAATGGAACTGGCGACCCCTTGGTGCATGGGTCGACGCTCAACCACTGAGCCACACCGGCCAGGCATTTTCTTTACTTTTTAAAAAAGTGTCTGTTCCTGCCACTTGGTGACTCCTGACTCTCCTTGTCTGGGTCCCAGTACAAAAATCTAGAGGAAGAGAATATGATTGGCTTAGCTCAGGTCTGGTTTCTGCCCCTGGGCCAAAAAACTGTGGCCAGAGGGACCCTGCAAACAAAAACCTGGCTGCCAGGATACACCCTGAGGCATGGGGGTGATGGGCATCTCAGGAGAGGCTGCACAGTTAACCCAGTGGGTGTCCACTCTGATTCCTCAGTCAGGCATGGCCATGACACTGGGTTATCTGTCGCGGGAAGGCCAGGGCTGCTGCGGTGTGGTCCGTGTGGTCCCCTGGTGTGAATTAGAGAATGGTGTCCTTCCTGCTAGCGAGTGGGGCTGGATTCCAGTGCCCCCAGGATGCAGCCTGCCTAGACTCTCTGTGGCTTCACCAGTGAGCGCTAGATCGGAGTAAGCTTGCAAAAAGGTTAGCTGTTGAAGATGACAACAACAGTGACAGAGATAATGATATCAGTACTACACCCTCTGGCGCCTTCCATCAGACTCAGAGATCAGGAGCCTTTCCCATGGCCAACATTAGTCATCACCGACCACCCTTTGCTAAGCGCCCACTCAGTCCTGGGCCTTTGTTCAGCAGCTCCCTGGAGGCTCGGGTTTTCCCTTCGGTCTGCGGGTTCTCCAGCTGGGGCCTGGTGCTGCCCTGTCTACGTGTCTCGAGCTTTCCCAGCAAACCCACCTTCTGCCCTGTGTCTCCCCAGGGCGTGAACCTGTCTGGGGGCCAGAAGCAGCGTGTGAGCCTGGCCCGGGCCGTGTACTGTGACTCCGACATCTACCTCTTCGACGACCCCCTGTCTGCGGTGGATGCCCATGTGGGAAAACACATATTTGAAAATGTGGTTGGCCCCAAAGGGATGCTGAAGAACAAGGTACTGGGGCAGGGCTTGAGGTCTGGCTCTTACGCACTTTGGTTAAATGAGAATGTGGCCCCTTGGGAATCCTTCACTTCCCCGGGGTTCTGTTTTCATTTTATTGCACTTAACACTTTTCTAATGCTTCCCTTGGAAGCCTTCCCAGACAGCCTTCTTGCTTTTGTCATTACGGAGGGGAAGTCCTTGGCACTGACTTGAAGTCTTTGCCTTTATTTGGCCAAAAAAGGCCCCTCTCCCTGATTTAAAAATAAGGGTGGCACCCTGGCCAGCTTGGCTCAGCGGTTAGAGCGTCAGCCTGCGGACCGGAGAGTCCCGGGTTTAGTTCCTGCTAAGGGCACGTACCTCAGTTGCAGTTTGTCCCCAGCCCTGGTTGGGGTTGTGTGGGTGGCAGCCAGTTGATGTATCTCTCTCACATCGATGTTTCTCTCTCTCTCTTCCTCCCTCTCTCTGTCTTGCTCTATCTGAAGATGAATGCAAAAATGTCCTTTGGTGAGGATAAAAAAAAAAAAATGAGGGTGGCCTGGTGGAAAGAAATCCCACCCCAAGATCCCCTGTGACAGAGCAGGCAGCTGCCCCTCCCTTTCCGAAGCGACCGTGGGCCGGGGGTACGGGCTTGGAGCAGGAATACTGCCACAGCACCCTGACCCGACGGGAAGTGGTCCCGTCCTCTTCGGTTATTGCATTTTACTTGTTAGAGTAATTACAGGGTGGGAGTACTGTTTTTTTTCTTTTCTTTCTTTTTTCTGATTCAAAAAGGAACACATGCCCATGGGAAAAATATAGGAGATTCAGAAAAACACGAAAAAGAAAAACAAAAGCAATCATGCGACATCTCACCGCTCGGAGATTTTGCATTTCTTTCAGATCTTTATGCTGTGTGTATCAGTGTTTGGCAAGGTTGTCGTGCCGCGCACGTAAGCAACGAGTGCTGTGACACTTAACGTATTGAGCCTTCCCACACACACCACAAAAATTCACTATAGACGTGGTGTTTTTTTTTATTTAATTAATTTATTTTTGTTACAGATGTTTCTCCTGTTTCCCCATTGACACCCTCCTCCTGTCTCCCCCTGCACCCTCCCCCAGCATTGTTGTTTAGGTCCATTGGTTATGCTTATATGCATATAAGTTCTTTGGTTGATCCTCCCCCACGCCCTCTTCTGAAGTTTGTCAGTCTGAACCCTACTTCCATGTCTCTGGATCTGTTTTGTTCATCAGCTTATTTTGTTCATTATATTCCACAAATAAGTGAGATCATATGATATTTGTTTTTCTCTGTTTGGCTTATTTCGCTTAGAATAATACTCTCCAGGTCTCTCCATGTTGACTCAAAGGATAAGAGATCTTTCTTACAGCTGCATAGTACTCCATTGTGTATATGTACCACAGCTTTTTTATCCACTCATCTATTGATTTTCAAACATTAAAAAAATGGTTTCGAAGTCATACACGCCCCTGGTAGCAAAGTCAAAGAGTATAACGAGTATGTGCACAATTTTATAAATGGTCTTCCTTTACCCTGCACCCAGCTCCTGTCTCGAGGGCTGGGGCCAGTACTTGGCCTGCTCTGTTTTAGTCCAGCCCTCAAGCTGGGAGTGGTCTTCACGTTTTTAAGTGGTTGAAAAACATCTGAAGAAAAATAATAAATTTGTGACATGTGAAAATGGCATTGGGTGGAAATATCAGTGTCCATAAATAAAGTGGTTTGGGAACACGGTCTGCCCCTCTGTTTATGCCTTGTGTATGGCTGCTGTCACACAACAACCACAGAGCCGACCGTTGCCACAGTGACCGGAGGGGCCATAAAGCTGAAAATGGTTACCATCTGGCCCTTTTAGAAAAAGTTTGTCAACTCATGTAAATAGTTTGATGAGTGCCTTCCCAAACATTTAGATCATTAGGTAAAAGATAGACACAGCTACAAATATAGTTTTGAGGGGGGTTGTGGGAATGGGTGGTTACTTATAAAATGAAGCCTTTTCGTGGAGATTATTTTGCATCCGAGTCCTTTTTCATTTGTCCACATGTAGTTGGTTCTCTCTCTCCCTTTCATCCTTTAACCTTGGTTAGTATTGGAACACTCGCCCCACCGTCAGCACCCCGTCCCCCTGTGCTGTGTGGCACCGTCCAGTACGTAGTGCTTTATGCATGTGGTTTGTTTCTCCCCCGGCCCTGGAATCTGGGACGGGGGTCTTTGAGTCCTTCCCTGCCCCCCCAGCCCCCACCCACCAGGCCCTGACACATGTGTTGAATGAAAGCACCCAGAGGCGTGCATTCGCCTTCGGCTGGGAGCTCCGCCACCTAGGTGTGCGGTGAGTCCCTCTTGCGCGTGTGCTGACTCTCCCGTCTCCACTCTGCCTGCAGACTCGGCTCCTGGTCACGCATGGCATCAGCTACCTGCCGCAGGTGGATGTCATCATCGTCATGAGCGGTGGTAAGATCTCAGAGATGGGCTCCTACCAGGAGCTGCTGGCCCGGGATGGAGCCTTCGCCGAGTTCCTGCGCACGTACTCCAGCGCCGAACAGGAGCAGACGGAGCAAGACGACGGTAGGGTGGCGTGGAGGTTTCCATCAGTCGCTGGGTGGCTCATCAGGGCATCAGGCAGGGGCTAGGCCAGGCCCCTCAGGAACCATCTGGAAGGACCTTCACCCTTTCAGACTCAATTAAGAAGGGGTCTCATTTGCTTTGTGGCCTGGTCGGCAGACCTGGGAACAAGTCCCGATCCTTCTCTGTGATGTGGCTTTGGGCCTCCCGAATTTCAGGGTCCTTGTGACAAAAATGGGGCCAGTGATCATTATAGTCCTCTTGGCTCCCAAGAGGCTGTGAGAAGCCGGTCACCTGTGGCTGAACCCAGATGTGAGGGTCATGAGGCAATGTGGTTGATTGTGCAGGCTTGGAGTTGGCAGGACCTGGGTTCAAATCCCAGCTGCTGCTCTTACCAGCTCTGTGATCTCAAACCCCTTCTGAGCCCCGGTCTCCTCCCTGATAGAGCAGTGTATGAACAGAACCAACCTCCTAGCATTGGACGTGGAGTCAACCTTAGGAGCAGCCTCTGGCTGGCACCTGGCACAAAGTGTTCAGTCAATGACAGCTGCTGTCCCTACTCCCCTGGGAAGTTGCATCTCTTTTACCCTCCACCCCTGGCACCTGCCAGGTCAAGATAGAGCTGCTCACTTCCCAGCTGCTGCACCCTGTCTTCCCTCCCAGGCCAGGACGCTGAGAGCAGGGACAGTTTGGAGGCGCCTTTTGAATTCTGAGCTGGGACCTCACCCTGTCTTTATTTGAAGCAGACAGGGCAAGACTTCTAAGAATGTTGTTCTCTCTTATCATTGGGTGTAAAAGTCAGGGGATTGGTTTGCAACCTTTCCAGGTTGCCTTGTGTTTCATCAGTCAGACTGGCATCTCAGCTGGTCTCTGCTCACCTCTCTTCTGAGCTCCGACCCATGTTAACACGGAGAGGTCATCTGACGCCTTTCGGCTTTGGTTTCAGCTGTTGCTAAAAAGAGTGGACCTACACAGAGGTCAGCTGTCCTACCCTGGCCTCCCTCTTCCAGGAGCAAATTACAGACTTCTTGAGCCTCCGTAGTGTGTTTATCATATACTCAGTCCCCAAACAGGTCCCAGATAGACAGACTGCTTCCCGGGGCTTCTGTTCTCTGCAGAGGTCATCTTGCGGAATCCTAGCAGCTCACGAGGGAGGTAGAATCATTACTCCCAGGTCACTGAGACTTCGAGAATCTAGTCCCTTCTATGCCGGGTGCAGGTGGGTCCCTGGCTATGTGGAGGGCTGATCACTAAGAAAGCTACTCCCTAGTCATCGATTTAGTCATGCACCAGGTGTAATTGAGCACGCACTATGTGTTAAGTATCCTGTCATTTTTCTGGGGCTGCTGGAACAAAGTACCACAAACCAAGTAGCTTAAACAACAGAAATGTGTTGTCTCGCAGCTCTGGAGGCTGGAAGTCTGAGGTCAAGCTGGCGGCAGGGTGGTGCCTTCCGAGGGTGTGAGGGAATGTCTGTTCCATGCTTCTCTCCAGCTTCTGGTGGTTTGCTTGAAATCTCTGGCGTTTCTTGGCTTGTAGAAACACCACATCTTCACATGGCCTTCTCCCCTGTGTGTCTGTCTCTAAATTTACCACTTTTTATAAGGACACCAGTTATACAGGATCAGGGCCCATCCTGATGACCTCATCTTAACTAGTGACATCTGCAAAGACCTTTTCTCCACAGTCACGTTCTGAGGTACTGGGGGCAAGGACTTCAGCCTATGGATTTGGGTGGGGGTTATAATTCAGCCTGTAACAGCACTGTTCTAGGTTTTGGAGAGACAGAAGTAAACATGTATAGACAAATCCCTACCCTCATTGAGTTTAGTGTCCAGTAGGAGAGAAAGGCAATAGACAAATCAACAGTATAGATGGTTTCATACAGCAGTAAGTGCTATGAATTTTAAAAATGCAGGATACTGTGCTGGGGCATGACGGTGGCAGTGGCAACTCAGGCAGGGTGGTTGAGAAGCGGTCTGAGGAAGTGACGTTGTCATGGAAAGGAGCCAGCAAGGAGAAGATGTGAGGAACAGTGTTCTGACACAGGGAACAGCAAGGGCAAAGGCCTCAGGCCTGAGCTCAGTTTGTTTGAGGAACAAAAAGGAAGCCAGTGTGTCCATAGCATGGTGGGCAAGGGAGGGGGTGGGAGGTCACCCTGCCGAGTCTTCAGGGTGAGGCGTTTGGGAGTTGGTCTAAATGCAGTGGAAAGACACTGAATGTCAGAGAGGAAGCTTGTCTGAGGACACTCTGGCTGCAGGTGAGGTTGGGATCGCAGTCTGGTCTCCACGTTTCCAGTCCTCTGCTCTTCGGTGGTCTCCAGGTCTGCCTGCAGTGGGAGCTCATTCATTCCTCTGACAGTTTGCTGTAGAAGTCCTAGTGGCTCTTAACTAGTGCTTTATTGAGATATAATTCACATGCCGTACAATTCCCCCAGTGAAAATGTACAGTCCAGTAACTTGCAGTATATTCAGAGCTGTGCAACCATCGCCCACCGTCAGTTTCAGAACATTTTCATTAGCCCTCGAGGGAACCTCAGATCCATTAGCAGTCACTCCTCGTTTTCTCCCAGCCCCCCAAGCCCTAGGCAACCACAGTTCTACTTGCCGTCTGTAGGTTTGTCTGTTCTGGACATTTCATATAAGTGGGACTGTAGTGTGGCATTTTGTGACTGGCTTTCTTCACTTAGCGTCATGTTTTCAGGGTTAATCTGTGCGGTAGCGTGTATCAGACTTCATTTCTTTTTTTTTTAATCCTCACCCGAGGATATATTTTCATTGATTTTTAGAGAGAGGTGGAGAGAAAAAGAGAGACATTTGATGTGAGAGAGAAACATTGATTGGTTGCCTCCTGCATCTCGCCCCCCACTGGGGACCGAGTCCGCAACCTAGGTATGTACACTGACAGGGAATCAAACCACAACCTCACCACCTTTTGGTGTTCAGGGTGAAGCTCCAACCAATCGACCCACCTGGCCATGGCCAGACTTTATTTCTTTTGATTGTTGAATAATATTCCATTGTGTGAGCACACTGCATCATTTTACTAATCTATTTATCCACTGACAAACATTTTTGAGTTGACTATTATGAATAGTGCTGCTATGCACCCTAGTTTTAAACATACTTTCTTTAGCCACCATGAGATAGCTGACCCTGGTTGGAATGAGTTTCTGCAGGTTCACACTCTCGTGATGGGAAAGTTCTGCCTTAAGTCTAGCCTGTTTTCTTCTTGCTGCAGAATCTCCTTCCTCTGAGCCTGAGTCAAGTCAAGGTCACGTGATGGCTGGTGGCTGCCTCAAAATCACTTTACTTCACTGACCTTCTTTGTGGGCTACAGTTAGGCGAAAATAACCCTCTATGTTTTCCAAGTCAACACATGTTGGTTTTTTTTTAAATAGGTTTTTATTGTTGTGGGGTTTTTTTGTTTTAGAGAGAAGAAGGGAGAAAGAGATAGAAACATCGATGTGAGAGAGAGACATCGATCGGCTGCCTCCTGCACGTCTCCCACTGGGGATGGAGTCCACAACCCAGGCATGTGCCCTGACGGAATTGAACCAGGACCTCTCAGTCCATGGGATGACGCTCAATCCGCTGAGCCACACCGGCCGGGCAGCAAGTGTGGGTTTAACTGACTTTTTCCCCAGCATGAGTTCCCTCTCTACTGTCTGTCCAGGTGAGCGGGGGACGGATGTCCTTAAACTTGGTTGGCCACAGGTGGCTTTCTTCCCATTCCTCCCCAGCTGCAGGCGTATCTAAAGCAGCTTGTGCAGAACACAGAAGGCTGCCAATTTCTTTTTTCTTTTTCTCTTTTTTTGGGTGCACATCAGCACTTAATTTGTTGATGAAATTACCACCCACCACCCTAACACCACTGTGGGGTCATTTCCCCAATTCAGCCCCCCAGCCTCCTGCCGAGCGGGGCAGGGAAGTTCTCGACCTGTGTGTCTGAAATCAGCTGGGCAGCCCCTCTCGTTCTGCCTCCCGCAGGCCCAGCGATAAGGCTCAGTCCGGGTCTAGTCTTGCCTAGCCAGCTCCAAGTGCCAGTGACCTTGGATTTGTTTGAACCACATTCTTGGCTTCTCCTACAGGGAAGCTTTGTTTTTTCTTGTTGGCTTAATCAGGTCTTTTTTAGAACACCCAGGAGTGAAGGAAGGGTGTTTGGTTTGGGGGGTTCTTTCTCATCGGGGTGGGGAAGGGGGAGATGTAACAGGAACCAGGCTTGGGGTGGGGAGGTGTCCCTCCCCAGGGACATTCATTATACTGATTTCTAGGAAATTTTTTTTTTCTTTTGGTTGCAAAGAGATGAACAAATTGGCCCAAAACCTGTGTACCTGGAAGGTGAAGAGCATTTTAAAATTTACCCTGGTTTCTGGGACCTAGGGCGGTGGTTTTCACCAGGGAGCATTTGTGCCACGTCTGCAGGCATGTGTGGTCGTCACCGTGGGGGGCAGCCTCCCCGCATCTGGTGGGTAGCGACCAGAGAGGCTGCTGAACACCCTGCAATGCACAGTGCGCCTGCCCCTGCCACCAGCTGTGAAGCATCGCTGGGCCCCGGGAGGGCGAGACGCCAGCTCCGCTCCGACGCCGGGCCGCCCAGGTCCTGCCCTGTTATCGCTGAGGAGAGACCTCGATCCCAACAGTGTGTCCACTTTCCACCACCTCAAATTTTTGCTGCTTTTCATTTTACTGATGATACAATCGCTGCGTGCTCATCGTAGACAGTGGCAACCTGCAGAAAAGCGCGAAGAACCTCCCTCCACTCCCCCGCCCCAGAGAGGGAGGGGCTGCCCTGGCATCGGGCCTCTCTCCACCTGTCTCTCTAAATCAGTTCTGCCCTTCCTTTGATTTCTCCCCTTAACACTGGGTCATACGCACCTCCCCATGTTACAAAAATCTGCCGTAAACGCCAAACAGCTGCTGGAGAGACTGTCTACAGACAGCACATTCCTTTCGGCTGTCCGCAGTGGCCATATTTCTTTCCCTTTGGAGTATGAAGAACCTCCATGGCCCAGTGAGGCGGAGGGGGGTCAAGGGATGCAGCCGGTCACTTCCCTTTTTGGTCAAAAGCGAGGCGCTGACTGTGAAGCAGTGGCTTGGATCGGTCCCTTAAGGGAGGCTTGCCTGCTGGCCCTTGTCCAAGCGGAGTTCCAGAACCTTCTTGAGTAAAGGCAGTATTACTGGAATAAACAGTGAGCCTGTGAGGTGCCTGCTCCGGGGGCCAGCAGCTGGCTGAGCACACAGCCCAGGCAGCACGCAAGTTCAAGGGCAGGGACGATGCCTGGCTTGGGGTAAGGTTCTCGTGTCCTCTGAGAGCTAGAGACTGTGAGCTGGCACTGAGGCTGAGCCGCCTCCAGCTGCCACGCCTGCCCTGCCACGCCGGCCCTGCCACGCTGTGATACTCTACTTCCTTCCCTCTGCTGCTGTGAAACAGGTGTGACAGCGACGCTTGGTCTGCCCTTTGTTTAAACTCCTATGGTTATGGCTTTTAGAGAACGGGCTGGCCTCGTGCAAGGTGCTTATCAGGATCCACCCGTAGCACGAAGGATGGGGAAACTGAGTCACAAATGCAGCCGCTCCCTCAGCCATCCTTGCCCCTCATCCTTTTTTTAAAAAAAAAAATTTTTATTTATTTTTGTTACAAATGTTTCTCATTTTTCCCTCATTGACACCCTCCTCCTGATCCCTCCCCGCCCCATCCCCAGCCTTGTTGTCTATGTCCATTGGTTACCCACACATGCATATAAATTCTGTGGTTTATCTCTTCGTACCCCCCACCCCCCCCTTCTGAGGTTTGTCAGTCTGTACCCTACTTCTATGTCTCTGGGTCTATTTTGTTCATCAGTTTGTTTTGTTCATTATAGTCCACAAATAAGTGAGATCATGTGATATTTGTCTTTCTCTAATTGGCTTGTTTCGCTTAACATAATGCTATCCAGGCCCCTCCATGTCATCTCAAAGGATAAGAGATCTTTCTTTCTTACAGCTGCATAGTATTCCATTGTGTGTATATACCACAGCTTTTCATCCACCCATCTACTGTAGATGGGTGGATGAAAAGCTGTGGTATATACACACAATGTGATATTGTGAGCTGTTTCCAGATCAGTGGTTGTAAATAGTGCTGCTATGAACATAGGGGTACATATATTCTTTCTAATGGGTGTTTCAAGCTTCTTAGGGTGTATTCCTAGAAGTGGGATCACTGGGTCCATAGCAGTTCAATTTTTAACTTTTTGAGATAACACCGCCCCGCATCCTTAGGAGAACACATCCATCCATCCCCTCTGGGTATTTACACGGGGGCTTCGGGAGGGAGTTTTTGCCTTGGTTCTTAATACTTTCTTGGATCTTGTGAATTCCCAGGCAGCAGAGTGGTGGACGAGGAGGAGGAAGGTCAGTGGCACGAGGGTTAGAACCGCTGTGCTCGCAGCATGAGGTTGTAGACGGACTTGCCCTGTGACTGCATGCCTGGGAAGGGCCCTGCAACGCCCGCTCTTCCACTGTTCATCCAGCATCCAGCAATGTTTACTGGGCATCTGCGATGGTCCAGGCTTTCAGTGGGCATTTAGGGTTGCAGTTAGCATCTCCAGCTCTCCCGCTCAGCTGGGCGACCTTGACTAAGCTGTACTGTCTCATAGGTCAAATGACCGTGACTCGCACGTCTTGAAGGAGATCCTAACTGTGAAATGCCTGGCACACGGTAGATGGACAGTGTTTGATTATTAAGCCACTCCTACCCCTGGGCATGGTCAAGACGGTGGCCGGCCACAACCGTGCAGGTGATGAGTTGCCTGATGGAGTCACTGCAGGTGGTGCGGGTGCCCAGAGGAGCCATGTCTTCTAGCAGAACGTCAGCCAGCAAGGCTGCCCTGTCCCCTCTGAACTGGCTGCTGGAGCAGACCTGTCCCTCCTGCCTTCTGTAACCAGCATTGGGTGGCTGAGGGTTCAGACAGAGGGCCCTTTTGTGGCTACAGAAGCCGACTCCAGCCACTTACCAACAAGGGTATTTACTGGGAGGACATCAGGTAGCTCAGAAATCAAAGGCAAAACTGACAACAGGACTCGAGAGGTGGGAACTCTGGGAACGACACTCCCTTAAGACAGATTAGTTGGAACTGTCTCTGGTCCTTGTGGGGCCAATGTTGGTTCAGCATCCTAGGAGGAGGATTCTGACGGGCTGACCCTGGGCAGCTCCCCCACACCCCTGGCCTAGGCTGGGGGAGCCTGGGGCACCCTAATGGACCGGCCTGCCAAGACCATAGGGAGGGGGGAGGGCTAATCGCCTGGGAAGAAGGCAGACAGATGGTGGACTGACACGTTCACGTGGCCCTTCTTGGACTCCTTGGTTTCTCCCCTTGCGGAGACGTTTTCAACGCCCAGCTTGCGCATCACCTGTGGGCTAATGGGGTTGCGAAGGGGAGGCAGCCACAGGAGGCCCCTGCGGAGGCTCCCGTCTAGTCCTGGGGGCTGCTGTGGAGTGGGGGGCAGGAGAAGAGAAGGCTGAGGCTATGGAGGGCGGCCTGGGCAGCCAGGTGGCAGAGCCGGGCTCTGTGAAGCGCCCGCCCGCAGAACAGGGAGTGTTTTCGGGCATCCCCACCCCTGCACAGAGAAAGATGGCCGAGGCCAGGCCCGAGCCCGGATGCTGGGCCTGTACGCGAGCGCTGGCTGCATGCGGCTGCATGGGAGGTCCCGCCTGGTACCACTGCTGTTTTGTTTTGTTTTGAATTAACAGAGATGCTCACAAAGGAAGTGTTTAAAGCAGCAGTTCTCAATCCTGGCTGTGTGCCAGAATTATCTGTAGAGCATGTTTAAAGTGCAGATAACAGTAAGCACCACCATGGTGTCTCATGCCTTCCCAAGCACCGTACACAGGCATGGTGTCTCATGCCTTCCCAAGCATCGTTCGTCTTCCTGCGTAGGGGGGAGCGTGCTGTTGTTGCTCTCACTTTGCAGATGTGGAAGTTGAGGTGTGGAGGGTCGTCACTTCCCAGGTACACACAGCTAGGAAGTGAGAACACTTCCCACCTGACTGCTCTAACTCCACACAGAGACCCGGCTCCCCACAGAGTCGCTGCAGGCACCTGGGCGGACCCTGGGCTTCCCCGGTGGTTGGTTCACAGCCAAGACTGAGAGTCAGGAGGGACCTCCTCCCCTACCCCCAGAACGAGCCCTAGCTTCCTGCTCTCTGTCTTCCCATGGCTGTCGCTCCAGAGGGCCTGCCCTTTGGATCCTGCTTCTCTGCATGGCACATCAGCATGTTCCCAGGGGCACCCTGGCTGCGTGTGTATCCCCTTTTGTGACTTCTCTCCTGCATCCCTCCCCTCCTCTCCTGGGTCATCCCTTAGGGCCCTACATCGTACTTGTCTCTTATGCTGTTTTTCTCCGAGCACCAGAAAGGAAGGAAATCAGCGGATTCGGGGTGATCAGTGTCTCACTGAGTAGCTGGGCAGATGAATGGGGGTACAGTATCTCAGCACAGTGGCCACCACACCCTTGACAAACAGTAGCCTTCACTGTCCAGGTGACAGTGATCAGAGCTGAGGGGTGGGTACTTCCTGGGATTGGGTGGTGTCCAGCTGGTGTCCACGGTGGCCATATCAGTTATTTAAACATTTCCTTACTGTTGAGGAAGCAGCCATTGCCCGAGGTGCCCCCTACCCTGGACCTTCTGGACCACCCTGTGATTAGGCAGCCAAAGGGTCGGTGTCAAAACAGCTTGTTATTTGCATATTACCCCTGCTTGGGGACCAGAGGGCTGTGCCCTTTCCACCCTCCTGGTTCCTCGCATCCGGGCCCCATTAGCCAAGCTTCCTGCAGCAGGGGCTGCCGCTGAACTGGATTGTACCCGTTGCTGCTGGCACAGGGCACCTCAGCCCAATGTCCTCAGCTAGTGGGGCCCTCAAGACGGTTGCAGAGCACCATCCCTGGCCTCAGGGAGCTGGCTGAGAGTAGTAGCTCCTGCACCCAGCCCCGAGCCTGCTGTGGTCTCGCCAAGCAGGGCTTCCTTTGCAGCTTCCTAGAGGCCAGGTTTTTTGCCCTCTCCCCCAAGTGACAGGTTTTCCTTGTCTTTGGATTTGGCATTGGCCCTTGAGACCACGAGTCCCCTTCTCTGTCTTCTGCCAGGAGTCGCAGGCATGAGCGGTCCCGGGAAAGAGACGAAGCAGATGGAGAATGGCATGGTGGTGACGGGAGCTGCGGGGAAGCAGCTGCAGAGGTAAGGGCAGGGACGGAGGCGCCGCACGTCTGCCCCCGCCGTGGCCAGAGGAGGTGCAGGTGCCAGGGGCGTGGCTCCACCTCCCAAAAAAGGCCTTCAGCTCTCCAGGGTCGTGACAGTGCAGGCTTTCTGCCTCCTCCCCGGATCCTCTGGGAACCTCACTTTTCAAAGCACAGAGGCCTGAGCGGGGAGCCTGGCACTGTTCCCGCCCGGTGGCACGATACACACAGGCCTCGTGATTTCACCACGTCTGCACTTCCGACACTCACGTTCCTACATGGTGTGGACTTTTGCTCAAGTCACTCTTAGGGTCCTGGAAGGTTGCGGCTTTCAGAACCAGCATTCAGCCCTGGCCGGTTTGGCTCAGCGGTTAGAGCGTCGGCCTGCGGTCCTGAGAGACCCGGGTTCGGTTCCCGCTAAGGGCACGTACCTCGGTTGCAGTTTGTCCCCGGCCCTGGTTGGTCGTGCGGGTGGCGGCCACTCGATGTGTCCCTTCACGTCGATGTTTCTCTCTCTCTCTCTCTCTCTTCCTCTCTATATCTGAACAAAAAATGGGAAAAAAGGTCCTCGGGTGAGGATAAAAAAGAGAAGAACCAGCATTCAGTGTAAAGTAGTCAGATAGCCATAGTAATGGTGACTACTGCGTTTTTATGCACCATTAGGACCCTGGCTCAGGGCCAAGCCCGGTACACTCTGAACCTAGAGGTAGTCACTGTCTTTTTCCCATTTTACAGATGAGCAAACTATTACAGAGGAGCTCCCCACAGGTTGTACAGCTAAAGAGAAGCTCAGCTGCGATTGGAAGGCGAGTCTGGCCTTTGAGCCACAGCTCCTAAGTTCTAGGCTTTGCTGCTGGTGTTTTTGTTTTGATCCTCACCTGAGGATATTTTTCTATTGATTTTTAGATAGAGTGGAAGGGAAGAAGGGAGGGAGAGAGAGAAACAGTGATGTGAGAGAGACACATCAATTGGTTGTCTCCTGCATGACCCCTTGGGGCCAGGAATCCAACCTGCAACCCAGGTACGTGCTCTTGACTGAGAATTGAACCCTCACTCCTTTGGCCACAGGCCGACACTCTAACCGCGGAGCCATACTGTCCAGGGCATACACTTGGCTGCTTTAAAGGAGGTCGCAGACAGTGAGATCCTCGGGCATTGGAGGAGTGGCCTTCTGCGGACTTGGTCGCTCACCCTCTCTGTGCCTCAGTTTCCCAGCTGTCAGACGGGGTGTGTGGTGTGCCTGCGCTCACATGATATGGTACCGGTGAGGCACTTAGGACAGTGCCTGTGCCACCAGCACTCAGTAAGCAGCACTCAGCCTTTGTCGGGTGAGCTGGGGCTGCCCGGACCTACTTCTTTTGGGGGTTTTCACAGGCATGGGGCCGGGAAGGAGACTGTCCTGAGCAGCTCTGCCCTCAGAACAGTGGCACAGTACCTCTTGGCCTCTGATTTTCACGCAGGTGGAAAGATTTCCTTCTCTGCCAGTGCACCTGTGAAGGTGGGGAGCTGGGCGTATGTGTGTAAATCAGAACCTTTCCCAGAGTCACACCGGGGACGTGGGGCACTGCCAGGTTCAGGCGGGCAGCCTGCATAATCAGTCACGGTTGCTGCCATCTAAGAATGTACTGCAGCAGCCGAGATGGGGCGGAGCCTGCGAGTGGTCCTGGCATACGGGGCAGGGATGGCGGGATGCACACCGGAGAGCCATGGCAGACTGAGCAGAAGCATGCAGAACACTGGGGCATTGGTTTTCTGTTGCTCCATAATGAATGACCACAAACTTAATGGCTTGTCATCTCGTGGTTTCTGTGTCTTGGGGTTCTGGGTGTGGCTCAGCTGGGTCCTCTGCTCAGTGACTCTCAGGCTGTAGCCAAGATGCCGGCCAGGCTGGGGTCTTATCTGAAGGATCTGCTTCCATGCTCATGCAGCTGTTGGCAGGACTCACGTCCTCATTTCCTAACTGGCTGCAGGCTGGAGGCCACCCTCAGCTCCCAGCATCTCTGCAGCCTGGGTGCTCGCTCCATCGAGGCAGGCAAACCAGGAAGGCGGGAGAGAGTCGGTGAACAGGGGTCCCACTGCATCACCTCTGCTTGTGGAGGTCTGAGCCATGGCTGTGCGAGGGAATGTCCTGTGTTCTCAGGCACATGTACACACCCCCCCCCGCCGTGGTATTCCTCAAAGTTATAAGTCCCAGAGAACAGGACTTCTCAGAGAGGAAAGAGTCCTGGGTCACATGGTCTGTGATATTCTGTGATGGTCTGCATCAAGCTGGTGACCACTGGTGGGTGAGACATGCTTTTTGAATAATGCCTGCATAAAGGAACACTTCTTTCCTGGGGCCCGAGGGCATGACCCTCCCCTCTTTGGGTTGCATCTGTGAAACTGGAAGATTGAGCTGGGTTGGTACTTCGTTGGGACTGCCGCCCCTGCCCAGGGTTGGCTGACACCCAGATGCCTTGCTTTCCCCAGACAGCTCAGCAGCTCCTCCTCCTACAGCGGGGATGTCAGCCGGCACCACAACAGCTCTGCTGAGCTGCAGAAGGCCGGGGCCAAGGAGGAGGACACGTGGAAGATGATGGAAGCAGACAAGGCTCAAACAGGGCAGGTGAGGGCTGGTTCCCGACGTGAGGACGACGGGTGGTGGTTACGGCGTGTCCGTGTGTGCTGGGCCTCGTGCAGAGGGCTTTGTTTGTTAGCTCTGGTCTTCCTGCGGCAGCCTGTAAAGGTACTGTACTGAGTGCAGCAGACCGAGGCCTGGGAGTTGCCTAGGTGACTCACCCCGGTCGCAGCTGAGGAGTGGCAGAGCTGGGAACCTAGCAGTCCGACTCCAGGGTTGTCATTTACAGTCTCTGCCGTACTCACTACCACCTCCTTTGAGCTGCTGGGAATGTCTCCTTAGTGGTAGGCTTCCCATCATGCGGGGTTCTGTTTATAGGAGATGCCAAATAATATTAAATCACACAGTCGGAAGGAAAGCTTTCCAGCCCTCATGGTTACATGAAAGTCGGTCGTTAGCTCGTCCGCAGTACCTAGCTGTCTTAGTTCCTCTGGGCTGCTCTAACAGTGGCGTAGGCTGCGTGGCTTAGAAACAGCACATTGGTCCTTCACCCCTCTGGAGGCCGGCAAGTCCAAGATCCAGGCACCAGCAGATTCGGTGTCTGGTGAGAACCAGCTTCCTTGTTCGTAGACGGCTGTCTTCTCACGTGGCGGAAGGGACTGGGGATCTCTCTGAGGCCTCCTTTTATCAGAGCACTCCTCCTGTTCCCCTCCATGAAACTGGTCACCTCTCAAAGGCCCAACTCCTAACGCCATCACATTGGGAGGTAGGATTTCGACATGTGAATTTGGGGGGACACACATTCAGTCTCCAGATTGCTAACTTTTCTTTGTAACAAGCACAGTGGGTTGAAAGCTCTTATTTTGTTTATATATTTTTACAATCGTCTGTATTGGCCAAGTGTCAATAAGTTCCCACTTGGGGCATTGTTCCAAAGTTTATTTTAAAAAGTAAATATGGTTATTTATTTATTGTTTTAAAAAACAGGGAATAGAGTTTTAAAAATAAGTACACAAAGAAAAACAACCCACCCCTGAAAGGTGGTATGGTGGTATGAGGGTGGGTACTTCTCAGACTTACCTGGATGTATCTAGACTCCCCTGGGACCCTCTGTTCCCCGCTTCTCCCTCACCTGCCACTACACCTGCGGCCAGAGGCACAGGTGGCTGTACCGTGTCCTCCCGCCTTGCTCTCGCTTACCCTCCAAGGAGCCAGAGACGCCAGGCCCTTTAACTCATTGCACCCCACACCCCAGAGCAGACAGGTCCCAGTAGTACCTGCATTTTAGATTCAAGGAAAACGGAGATGGGGAGGGGTGTTGTGCATTGCCAGGGTCGGACCAAGAGGAGCTGGGTTCAGCTCACCCGGCCACTTCTGCCTCCCACGCTGCCATGTTCCACTGCTCGTGGGGAAGTAGTCCCTGAGTCCCACAGGGTCATTCAGGGATAGCAGGCAGCTCAGTTGCATGAACATGTTCTTCATTCTGACACCCTCTTCCCACTGAGTTTGAAGAACAGAGACTTGAAACAGAAAAAAGGAAGCACTCAGTTATACATCAGACCTCTGATCTTTCATCTGTTACCTTTCAACCAGGCTGTCACTCAGACATGACCTTTATGACTCCAAATCTAGCCTGAAGAGCTTGACATGACTGACAGTGAACACACATAGGAGGCAAGATACCTGGGGTTTGTCGAAACCAAGCCCAGCAGGGGCAGAGCTGACTGTCAGCTAACAAGGGGCGGGCGCCACAGACAGGAGCACAGGTGGAGGGACTGGACGGCACAGGTGCTGGCCCGGGGCGGAGGCGCACTGGGTAAACTGCCTTCCTTCCCGTGGCCTCCAGGTCAAGCTGTCCGTGTACTGGGACTACATGAAGGCCATTGGACTGTTCATCTCCTTTCTGAGCATCTTCCTGTTCTTATGTAACCACGTTGCCGCCCTGGCCTCCAACTATTGGCTCAGTCTCTGGACGGATGACCCCATCGTCAATGGGACCCAGGAGCACACGAAAGTCCGGCTGAGCGTCTATGGAGCCCTGGGCATCTCACAAGGTGGGAGCCGCCCCTCCGCACCCTCCCCTGCCCCACCTGACCTTGGAACCACTTCTGTGTCTTGTTAGAGAACTGGCGCCCGCTCATCGGGGTTTTCTAGACGCCCCGACCATGCCAAACGCAGACGAGTGGTAACTGACACCCAGTTGACACTAAGTATTTGTGGACTGAATGCGTTTTGAATGCTCTGTTTCATAGGGCCCTAGGAGACGGAGGAGAGCTCCAGTGTGCCCGTTTTACAGATGAGGAAAGTTGAGGAAGAGAGGTCACCTGGAGCATTAATGACGAGGGCCTTGCCCCCTGGTGCTTCTGCACAGTCTTATTTGTGGGCTTTTACCTGCTGTCTGAAGGTACATTAACTATGTGTTAATGTGCTCATAAGAGCTGTGTATCTATATATACACATGTACATTCAATGTATATGATACATAGTGTGTACAATAAATGTATACATTTTTTACCACTTTTTGTGCACCAAGCACATTGCTGGGTAGGCCCCTTACATTTGACATTGCTGTAAGTATTGTCCCCATGTTACAGGTGGGGAAACTGAGGTGCAGAGAGGTTAAGTGACTTGTGGAAGGTCACACACCTGGTAGGTGACAGAGACAAGATTTGACAGTGTTGGCCCCAGAGCCTGTCAGTTTAGCCCTGCCTCTCGGGTTTCTTCCTTGATGAAGAAGGCCAAGATGGAAGCCTCTTCATCCCTATGAAATCGCCTCCCTGCAAAGAAGGGGGGCCCTTCTGTGGGTAGTTTGGAGGAGCAGCAAATGCCTCTGGAACTCTAGGAGGTGGTGTCGGAAAACCTCAGAAGAGCAGACATGAGCTTTTTAAATTTCTCAGTCCCTGCAACACCCTCATAGGGCGAAGGACTGTGGACTCCAAATTATAGCCGAGGGGCGGTGGTGCACAGAGAGGGCATGGTGTTCTAGGGCTGTGCCGCCCTGTAATAGCAGTCACTGGCCACAGGTAGCTCTTTGAATTTTTCAATTCATTAAAATTAAATAAAAGTAAAACCTCAGTTGTTCCGTACACAAGCCTCATTTCAGGTGCTCGGCAGCACGTGTGGCCCTGGCCGTGCCCTGGGCGGTGCAGATGTAGTGTGTCAGTCAGCAGGAGGGTCCGTCGCCCTGCTGGTCGGGAGCCGGGAGCCTGCAGGTGGAGCGCTGAGCCGGGAGCGGCTGCCTGGTTGGCTGGGTGTTGAGGGCGGAGGAGTCCACCTGTCTGGACTTCAGCGCCTCCTCGGTGAAGTGGGTGGTGAGCTAACTTATACAGAGTTGTCATACGGATTACATGCCTGTAAGACTTCAGTGCAGTGCTTGGCACATAGTTAGTAAGTGCTCAGTAAGTAACGGCCATTGTTATTATTAATTGTTAGCTGAGGATCCAGCCCTGCTTCGTCCATGTGGTCACGTGGCCACTTGTCCCAGCCCCCAGCTTGGCCCCTGCCCCATCGTGGAGTTTAACTCGGGAGTGTTTTGCAGGTATTGCGGTGTTTGGCTATTCCATGGCGGTGTCCATCGGGGGCATCTTCGCCTCCCGCCGCCTGCACCTGGACCTGTTGCATAACGTCCTGTGGTCACCCATGAGCTTCTTCGAGCGGACGCCCAGTGGGAACCTGGTGAACCGCTTCTCCAAGGAGATGGACACGGTGGACTCCATGATCCCGCAGGTCATCAAGATGTTCATGGGCTCCCTGTTCAATGTCATCGGCGCCTGCATCATCATCCTGCTGGCCACACCCATCGCCGCTGTCATCATCCCTCCCCTGGGCCTCATCTACTTCTTTGTCCAGGTGAGGGGTGGGCGCCCCATCGTGGAGCTGCGAAGCGTTTGCTGGGGGAGCGGGCATGCGTCATCAGTTTGGGTACCTCGGTTGATTGTTTTCTGCTTGCGATAACCAAATGTTGTGAAAGAAAATAACTATAGTTATGGAGTTACTTTTATTACCAAAACTTCCCTAAGAATTTTATGAAAATTTCTAGTCCCTAAGTCCCTGAAAGATAGTGGAGATGCAAGTAAGAACAAGAACAGGTGTATTGTTCTCTCCTGTAATGGACATACAGAGGTGGGTCATTCAGGGCTGGTGTGGCCGTCCTGGGCGTTGGTGACCATCCCGGACTTCTTCACAGCTGTAGCCAGCCTGAGGAAGGGGACAGGGCAAGGAGCATATGATAAATGAGTCAGCATCTCTGGTTTCTTAGGCAACTGCAGCGTAGGTTGTTTCTAGTTGGCACATCAGTGTGTTGAGGCCCTAATGGCTGAGCTGGCTGTCTGAACTCACGTCTGTCTGAGCCCAGAGCTCGTGCTGGTAACCACAGGGTGATCTGTCCCTTCTCAGCCCTAGGAGTTTGGCTGCAGCAAGTTGCTGGTGGGGGTAGGGTTTAGATGAGGGCCTAACGGCTGCAACACAAAGTAAGGATAGGAAATGGTGAGGGCTCCAGCCTCGAACCACACTGGAGCCGGCTCATGTGGGGCCCCCACGGGAGGCCTCGGTCCGGCCAGCCAGCCCCGGACCCCACCACACTGTGGCCAGTGATCGGTGAGCGTGAACAAAGGTAGAATCAGGGAGAACAGGTTCAGTTCTCAGGCCCTCGTGGTGTTCTCTTCAGCTTCTTGCCAACTTCGGAAAATCACCTGACTGCCACCACCAAAAATGGCATTCATGGTCATACCCTGGCCGGAAATGTTCCTGAAAGACACAGTTCAAAGGAACAGAACAGACCCAACGCAGCACTGGAAACAGCTCAGATAGCTGCCAGCAGCAGAACCTTGAGCACAGCATGGAGTGATTCCATGGCAGAATCTTTTTTTTATTTTTTTATTCTCACCCGAGGACATTTTTTCATTTTTTGTTAAGCTAGAGTGGAGAGGGGAGAGAGAGAGAGAGAGAAAGAAACATCCATGTGAGAGAGACACATCGAGTGGCTGCCTCCCACACAACCCCAACTGGGGCCGGGGACAAACTGCAACCGAGGTACATGCCCTTAGCAGGAACCGAACCTGGGTCTCTCTGAACCGCGGGCCAACGTTCTAACTGCTGAGCCAAACCGGCCAGGGCTCCATGGCAGAATCATATGTACTGTAAGGGATAATTCGGAAGACGCTGTTGCAACACCAATTTTATTTCTGAACAACAAAGGAAATGAATGCACATGGTCATTTTAGCTAAGATGAAATGCGTAGTGTGTGGGCAGGACTGGAAACGGAGGCAGAAATGAAGACATAGCCCGTCTGAGGTTTGGGGTTATGGGAGTGGGTTTTTTTTTAATGGCTTTAGCCAAATGTCCACTTATCCTGTAACCCTGCAGTCTCACTCCCCAGTATATATGCAAAAGAAATGAGAGCCCTGGCCACCGGCGGCTCAGTTGGTTGGACGGTCGTTCCACATACCAAGAAGGTTGTGGGTTCGATCCCTGGTTGAGGCTCCTATGGGAGGCAACTGATTGATGTTTCCCTCATCTCTCTGTCTCTGTCTCACTCTCTCTTTCTCCCTCTCCCCTTTTCCCTGTCTCTCTCTCAGAATCAATGAAAAAACATCCTCGGGGGAGGACAGGGCCGGGGCAGGGAGAAAAGAAATGAGACAATGTATCCAGCGCAAAACAAAAAATAAAAAACTATGCTAGAATGTTCTTAGCATCTCAACTTATAAAAGCCCCAAACTAGAAACATCTTCATTGTCCATTACAGGAAATGAATAAATACATTGTGGTGTGTTTATACACTATAAATGACTCAGCATAAAAATGAAGGAACTACTGATACACACAGCGCGGATGACTCTTGAAGATACTATGTTGAGCGAAAGAAACCAGACACAAAAGAGTACATACTGTGTGGTTTTCTAGAAGTCAGAATACTGGCTACAGGTGTACTGACTGTGAGAGGACACAGGAGAATTTTCTGGGTGCTGAAAATGTTCTAGATTTTGATCAGGGAGTGGGTGTGCTGGTGTGGATAAACGTAAGGATCCATCAAGCTCTACAGATTCAGTGCACTTCCCGGTGGATGTATGTTACATCTTAGTTACCAAGTGGCTTTTAGATGTATGTATGTGTGGGTATGTACACCCACACACTCTCTGTGTTGGGAAAAGATCTAAAAGGTTATCATGCTTATTTATCTCAGGATGTGGACTTCATATATATATATTTTTATCCTCACCCAAGGACAGTTTTCCATTTTTTGTTCAGACAGAGCGGGAGGGAGAGAGAGGAAGAGAGAGAGAGAGAAACATTGACATGAAAGGGACACATTGAGTGGTTGCCACCCACACGACCGACCAGGGCCAGGGACAAACTGCAACCGAGGTATGTGCCCTTAACAGGAACCAAACCCAAGTCTCTCTGGACCACAGGCTGGCTCTCTAACCGCTGAGCCAAACCTGTCAGGGCAATATAATATTTATTTACTGTCCTTTTCTATATCACTTATCTCCGAATTTTAAAGATGAATATATATTACTGTTGCAATTTAAAAGCAAGTCATTTTTATAAAAAAGTAGTGTATGAGGTGAGATGATGCGGGACTCTATGGGGCTTCCATGTTGTTGAAGTAAAACATTTCTGTCGTTTGGCACCGTGAAAACCACTGGCCTATATGTCTCAGTATCTTAGCGCTCAGCCCCCGGCTGCCCGTGGAACGGTCATTTTAATTCATGAGCGCCAGGCACCGCCTTGGTCTCTGACGAATGAGGCACGTCCAGAGGGTGGACCGCGTCTCTGGAATAGAGTTTCAAAGGGAAGCTAATCATTTTTTAAATCAGATTGTTCCCTAACAAAAATTTGTCTCAGGCTAGATTTTTACAGTAAATAATATTCTGAGGACCTGCCAAGTCGAGTCAGTGGAGCAGGTAAAACACCTTAAAACAGTTTCCATCTGGATGTTTGGAAAGAAAACCAGTCGAGGGTGTTGAGGGTGGTCCCCAAGGGCTTTGGTCCACGCCCTGAGGGCTGGATTTCATTCGAGACCGTGGGAGCTGCAGGAGGAGAGACGTCGTAGGACCCACGTTCAGAAGATGGGCGGCACACCTGCCCAGGCTGGTGTTGGCTTCCAGAGGTCGCAGGGCCCCAGGAGGCTCCTGACAGTGGCCACGGGAGCCCTGCGAGAGCCACCTGCTGTACTGGGTGTTCTCCGGGAAGGTCTCTGCCCCAAGCTGGCCAGCGACCTGTTGCAGGGCAGGGAGGCTGGTCCCTGACCACCGGTGTTCATTTGTCCTGCCCTGCTGTTTACGCAGCAGTTGTATGTACGTCCTGTTCTCAGCAGTCCTGCCGAGGCACCCTCAGCCTGGCCAGCCCCGTCTGCGTAGGTGAGGAAACTGAGGCCGGGAGGGCTCGTGTGCTCAGATCAGCCCAGCGTCCGTCGCTGCTCCTCGAAGCTGCCAGTGCTGGTTTGCTTGTACTCCATCTCCAGCGGGAGCTTCTCGGTCAGCTCTCAGTGCCAGGCCCTGCTGAGTGCTCGGGTCAGGGCAGGAGAGGTGCGGTCTCTGCCCACAGGGACAGGCAGAGTCAGGGCTTGAACTGAGGTCGGGTTGTCTTCAAAACCTGTGCCTGAAGTCTCGCTGCTGGGTCCATAAAACCCGAGCGGTCAGTGGCTTCAGAGAGGCCGCACGGTGCAGCGGTTAGCACTTGGCAGCCACGCTGTCTGGCTTAGGGTCCCAGCTCTGCCACTTCCTAGCCAGCCAGGTGATCTTCGGGGAGAGGTTAGCTAGCTTCTTTGTGCCTCGGCTTACTGATGGTGAGAAGGGATGAGCACCTCCGGTTTTCAGTGAGGGTTCATGGAGCCGATATGTGAAAGCACCTAGAACACGCCACGGAGTACGGGCCCTGCGAAGTGTTAGCTGTACTGTTGTCACGCGGCTGTCAGTGCGGTTGGCTGCGGGCCTGCAGTTCACCAGGTGCGTGGGGACACCTGTCAGGAGCAGCCCGACTCCAGCATTTTGCCGCCTGGAGGTGTCGTTTGTGTCCAGCCTTCCTCCAGCACAGCCCGGGAAGCTAGGCCGAGGGCCGCGCCATTCACTCCCCCGCCCACTCTGTCTCCCCAGAGGTTCTACGTGGCCTCCTCCCGGCAGCTGAAGCGCCTCGAATCGGTCAGCCGCTCCCCGGTCTACTCCCACTTCAACGAGACCTTGCTGGGGGTCAGTGTCATCCGGGCCTTTGCAGAACAGGAACGCTTCATCCGCCAGAGCGACCTGAAGGTGGACGAGAACCAGAAGGCCTATTACCCCAGCATTGTGGCCAACAGGTGGGCGCGCAGGGCCTGCCGGAGGGGTTGTGGGAGCCCCCTTCGTTCCTGGAGGAGAGTGAAGCCAGCTCAGACCCTCCCAGGGAACGGTTCCACCTGTAAGGACAGAATAGCCGTTCAAAGCCGACAGGCACTGTGAGCACCCGGCACTCCAGGGCACGTAAGTGCAGGGACAGGGTTTTCCTGGAGCCAGAAACGACTGCAGAACCTATTCTTTAGCTGTTGTCCTGGGGATACAAGGTCTTCAGTGGTGGGCAGACTCAGCTTTTGAATATTTTCCTACCATAGTTCCCAGCTGAAGGGTGATCACCCCCCAGCTCCACCCCCGGTGATGTGTATCAGAAGCAAATTACTAATATTACGTTGAACCATGTTAAATTGCCATCCAGGGAGGGCATCAAGAATGGTAGAATAGCATTAATCACCAAAGGGAAAAGGAGCTTGCTCATTAATTTTATTAAATATTTTTATTGATTTTTAGAGAGAGGAACATTGATGTGAGAATGTAACATCGCTCATCCGCCTCTGCACGCCTCCTGCCAGGGATTGAGCCCACAACCTGGGCAAGAGCCCTGAATGAGAATCAAACCTGCAACCTTTTGGTGCAGGGGACAATGCCCAACCAATTGAGCCACACTGGCCAAGGCCATGTTTGTTAATTATTGACTGAATTTAGAAAAGTGTCTGATTTATGTCTAAAATATCCTCCTCACTTGGTTGCATCCTGATATATATTTTGAGGTGTGGGATAGAAAATGCTGGGGACAGGGTGGCAGCATCCTGGAAGTGACCCAGAACCAGCTGCCAGCCCATCAAGCACAATGTAACCCTAGCGTGTAAGACTGGGTGGGAAGCCATGATCCTGGAGACCTTGCCTTCCCTTGCAGAAGTTTTAGGGAGTCTGTCAAAATGTGGGTCTGTCTCTGGGAGTAGCCCACCCCCATGAAGATCAGTCATGTGGATCTCAAGGGCTGTAGTGGAAAGAAGTTTAACCTATCTCTCTAGAGTGCTTTCCATTTTGAAACATTAAAATACTATTCCTAATGCTGTGTGATATCTTGCGTAAGTTCTCTTTAAACCATTAAAATATCTGTGTATATTTTAAAAGGTAAAATACACTTTAATGTTTCTGGGATGAGGATGACCTGGGTCTGGGAACACTTAGAGCTGCATTGAAACCAGTGTGTGTGTTTTCCTCACTCACCCGTCCCTGCCAAGAGAAGCTTATTTTAAAGCAGTGGTGCCTCTTACAGTTGGTGACTTCTTAGTACTTAAGTTTTCAGGACATTTTTTTAAAAAGTGTACACGTGGCTGAATTGTAAAGGTTACAGTGAGAAAAAGTTGGTTCTTAAAAAGACAAGCTTCAGTTTCCTGGAAAGATTGCTTCCAGAGAACTGTCTTAATCCCTGGGTTTGCCAGATGAGTGAGCAGTTACTGAAATTGTTTCCCTTTGGCCCTGCTTCCTCCTGTGTCCCAGGAGCAGGGTAGAGAAGGCCTCTCTCAGAATAATCAGGGATTATTTCAGTTAGTGAAGTGCCCCCCACCCCGGGGAACCAGAAACCAAGTCTCTGAAAAAGCTGACTCCTGGCATGCGTGTCTGTTCTTCTGTCTGCCCGTGTGTCTCAGGTGGCTGGCTGTGCGGCTGGAGTGTGTGGGCAACTGCATTGTCCTGTTTGCAGCCCTGTTTGCAGTGATCTCCCGGCACAGCCTCAGTGCTGGTTTGGTGGGCCTCTCAGTGTCTTACTCATTGCAGGTAAGGGGACACTCTTGCTGGATTTCCCATTTCTCTTAATGGGGAAACCAGTTGTCTTTGCTTTGGGTCCCTCTGGGAGTGTGGGAGAGGAAAGGGGCCGAGTGGAGTTTGAGGATCAGGTCTACAGCCCAGTGACTGAACGGAGCAGGAGAGAAATTAGACATGTGGCCTGGATGCCTTCAAGTACAAGAGAAATGCTTTTAACACTATAAATTTCCCTCAAAGCACTGCTTTAGCTGCATCTCCCAAATTTTGATACATTGTGTTTTTCTATTATTATCTATTTCAAAATACTTTCTTATTTCCTTTCTGACTACCAGTGTAGCTCATGGGTGATTTTGAAATGTGCTTGCTTAAGAGATGCAGTGGAGCAAGTCTGGGTAAAGGCTCTCTGTGGGGTTGCTGTTTTCTCTACCTTTCTTATCTGAAATATTTCGCAACTCATAATTACTTCATTAAAATAAAGCAACTCAAACTCACTCTAGAAGCTCCGTGTGACTCTTCCACTCACAGGTCACCACCTACTTGAACTGGCTTGTTCGGATGTCATCAGAGATGGAGACCAACATTGTGGCAGTGGAGAGACTCAAGGAGTATTCAGAAACTGAGAAGGAGGTAGAGCAAGCCCCTGCCCTGACCTCTAGGCCTTGATCTTCAGTATGGCTTCACCCAAAAAAGCCCCTCTGAGCAAAACCATGTGTGCCTGCAACAGGCAGCCTCTGTGTGACAAACTGAATCTATGTTACACATTTTTATGGGGAATTTCTCTTATGGGAAATGAGACTCTTTTTTTCTATAAAAAGTTTTAAAATTAAGTACAAATGTGCTGGTTAAAAGTATTTAAAGTCAATAATGGGAATCTGTACATGGATATTGTAAAAATCATATACTGGTAAGGAATTAACCGAAGTTTTGGAAACCCTGCAGTTATTATTTACAGATGGAGAAAAGGTAGCCTAGGGAGACGATGGCTGATTCGAGGACATATGTGGTCGGTAGGACCCAAATCTGCAGTCTTTGGTGCCTCGTTGCCCCTCATAACTGCCTTATTCTGTATGCACACCACCACCAGTAGTAGTAGTGATAACAATGACAATAACAGTAGTGCCTTGGCAGTACTATCTCCATCAATAATACTAGGGACATATACTGTGTCCTTGTGGAAGTGACAGGTCCTGTCCTAAACATTTCACATAGAGTAACTTATATGTTCTTTACAGAGCCTTATAACTCACATCTATTACTAGTTCCATTTTACAGGTGAGGAAACTAGACAGAGAGGTTAACTTACTTGCCTAAGATCACAAGGCTGGTAAATGGCAGATCCAGGATTTGGGTCTGTGCCAATGCCCTACTGCCTCCCAAGAAGATACCCTTTGGAAATCAGACCAAAGCTGCCCCAGTTAAACTCTGTCTTAGAAGATTTGCAAAGGTGACCGATGCCTGCAGTCTTAATGCTCGGAGATGGTGAACCAGGTCCCATTTCATCAGAGAGCATCAGCCAGAATGGTGCAGTGACCCCTGTGGAAATAAGAGTGCATTACACCAGGACTTTCCCACCCAACATTGAATGTGTTTATTTATTTATTTATTTAATCCTTACCCAAACTTTTGGTGTGTAGGATGACACTCCAACCAACTGAGCCACCTGTCAAGGACTGAATTTGGTTTTTTATAACAGCTTTAAGATATAATTCACATGACATGCCATTCATTCACTTAAAGTGTGAAATTCAATTTATTTTACAAAAATATTTTACTTTTATTTATTTTTATATTTTTAGAATAAGCATATTTGAAAAATATAAGAGGAAGTAAAGATTCACTCAGAGCCCTACTGCTATTATGATATATATTTCTTTATTATTTATGTATTATATATATTTATAGTTAGAAAGTTTCACCTACTTCTCTTTGGTCACTCGTATGTTTTTATAGCAGGTCCCTTTCATTTATATACATAAATTATAAAAGGAAAATATTCTTGTGGTAAAAAACAAATTAATAAAAGTTTATGGGGAAGAAAGGATAAAAGTTTTCTTTTATTGTCCTCTCTATTCCTCTCTTTCCCCAAAGACGGCCCCGATGCTGGCCTGGAGCTTATCCAGTTGTAAATCTCAGGAAATGCTGGACTAAGAAGCTTTTCAGAAATAGGGGCTGTGTGTCTCAGTTTCCTCATGTGTAAATGGGCTAATGAAAGGACCCTACTTATGGGGTTGTCGTGAGGATTAAGTGAGGTAATATGACAAAGTGATGTTTAAGTGTCAGCTGCCACTTATATTGTGGCAGTCCAGACCGAGAGGGCAGTCAACCTTGTGCATGTTTAGAGACCAGTTTGATTCAGCCCGTAAATATTTCTTGGGCACCTATCATGTGCTCTGGGCCCTGGAATATAGCAGTGAATGAACAATAAAAGAACCTGTCCTCACAGAGTGGCGATTCCAGTGGGCATGGGTGACAGAATAAAAAAGTGTCTGAAAGAGAATGAAGCAAGGGGCGGGGTGCAGGCTGGGAGGGCGGTCTGGACTGGCCCGAGAGCTGCAGGATGTGGGTAGCAGGCCGAATACGGAGCCTGGGGAAGAGTGGTCCAGGCAGAGGAAGCTGTAGGTGCGAAGGCCTGGAGGAATCACCCTGAAGTCATGTGGGGAGCGGAGTGAACCAGGGAGAGGGAGTGAGGTTAGAGGGGTTGTGGAGGCCGGCCCACATAGAGCCTTGGGGCTCCTGAGATGGACCTCAGATTCCTTATTTGCCCTCCTTCTCCCCCACACATTGCAGGCTCCCTGGCGGATCGAGGAGATGGCTCCGCCCAGCAGCTGGCCCCAGGTGGGCCGAGTGGAATTCCGGGACTACAGCCTGCGTTACCGAGAGGACCTGGACTTGGTGCTCAAGCACATCAACATCACCATCGATGGAGGAGAAAAGGTGGGTGCACATTGTTCTCCCCACCCCTGTTCGCAGCCGGGCACTGGTTGTGATCAGGCAGGTGAAACCGCTGTGTTGTCCCCCCAGTCCCCCCAGTCCCTTGCAGCCCCAGACCTGGGGTGAGTGGCCTTTTCTGGGAGGGGCTTGTGGAGGTAAAAGCTGCTCAGACAGTGTCCAACACGGTGGCAAACTGGTGGCCTGAGGGCCGAAGGAGGTCCACAGACCGATTTTGAAAAAAATCTGAGTAAGTTGCAAATATTAAAAAATCCAGAACTTTTTTTTTTTTTAAAAATAAAAATCCCTTTTTTGCTTTTCTTGAAAGATCACAGTATCCAGCAACACTGGGCTCATTTTCCCCACCTGGCTCTTGCTAGATAATATGTGAGTCTCCCTGTTCCCCCGGCCCCTCCCCACCCACTCAGGTGCCTACTTGGGCCCCGTAGGCATTGCATTTGGGATCTCTAGGCTAGAAGGATGTCACCATCACTGCTGGGATGGCTCAGTGTGAGATAGTCAGAATTTTGGAACATACCCTTGACCCCAAGCTGTTCCTGGAAGACATCCTTCCCCTGAGACCCTCAGAACCTCCTCAGGAATTAGACCCGGGCCTTTCTGGCTGTTTTCCAGGGCACAGGGCTTCTTTCATCTCTGAACATAGGGACTTGAACTGTCCCTTCCATCAGCTCAGGCTGTTCTGTTCCCATGACATAAGTTCTCCAACTCACAACGAGGGAAGGACAGAGTGGGCGGTGTTGTCTCCAAGGCATTATAGCTTGTGTTGTATCATGAGTCTGCTCGGTGGCATCGCTGTTGGAGATGGAGAAAGCCTGCCTCTCGGGAGCCCAGCTGATGTGGGGAGCTGTACTTGGATGTCAGGATGTTCACCACTGCCCATTACAGGGGAGCCCAGCTCCCTCGAGAGAGGATACGTGGAGACCTGGTCACATCCATAACCCCTTTTTCTCACGCAGCTGCGATGGGGCTGAGGGGGGCATGCGGGGGATTCTCCTTGAATCTTTGAGCTATTTCAACAGCTCAGGTTGGGAAACTCAACATCAAAGAACTGGAAAGAACTGTGAGGGAAATAACCTGGTTATTACTTAATATCTTGAGTTGACAATAATAGGGCCTTATTTAAAATCCCTCCTATCTGATGCCTGGGTCTTTGGAGGTCTCTAGTAGCTTATAAAAAGAGCTAATTATAATTTTTACTTACATGAAGAATTGGTAACAGCCCCTAAAGGAGCCTCTCTAGGAAGCTGGTAAAGTGAGGGCCACGGTGGGAGTTAGGTTGACCAGATGACTGAACTGCTCCAGGGCAGGTCACCTGGAATGAGGGCACTCTGGGGCAAGGAGGGACCCTCCAGATAGCAGTGTTCTTACCTTCCTGCCCCACAGGTTGGCATCGTGGGGCGGACGGGAGCCGGGAAGTCATCCCTGACCTTGGGCTTGTTTCGGATCAAGGAGTCTGCTGAGGGAGAGATTATCATCGACAATGTCAACATCGCCAAGATCGGCCTGCACGACCTGCGCTTCAAGATCACCATCATCCCCCAGGTGGGCCGCGGGGCTGCGCTGGTCCCACTGCAGCAGAGCATGTGTATTTTCAGTGGACAGACACACATTTGTTGCTACTTTATTATTTTTATTAAGATTATGCTATGTTTCTTCTCCACGGAATCTCCTCTTAGCGTATAAATAACAATGGGAATTAGCCAGGTATCATTCCTTCGCTTTGCCACCCAGAGCACCTAACGACCCAGTCAGACCCTGGCCTCTCTGCGAGCCGTCGGTCAGGACAAGACTCTAACCCTTCCAAGAGCTAAACAAGAAGTAAGAATTTTCTAGACTGATTCCTGAAGGTGCTGATTCCCTGACGTGTTGCTTTTCATGTCATTTGCCCTGAAATTTCTTCTAAGATTCTTTTTTGGAGGCAGGGGATGGGGCAACACCCAGTATCTTAGGATCAGGACTGACCTATGTTGCATCTCTTTTCAGGAAGGTTCCTGACACATTTGCATATTGAAGGCACTAAGAAGTCTTGCAAATAATAATCATGATAATGATAATAATCTATTTTATTTCACCTAACCCAGAGTTTTCCAGATTTCTGTCATGACCAAGATCTCCAGAAACAGTGGCCCCACGGGTCTCTAGGGCCCATCTTGAACAGTTCTGGCGAGAGCTTCCTGTGGCCGCCTCTCTGCCCCTCCGCGTCCCGCTGACGTGAGCCTCACATGCTGCCTGCTGTCTTCTCTCTGCACAGGACCCCATTTTGTTTTCGGGTTCTCTCCGCATGAACCTGGATCCGTTCAGCCAGTACTCGGATGAAGAGGTCTGGACGTCGCTGGAGCTGGCTCACCTGAAGAACTTCGTGTCGGCCCTTCCCGACAAGCTGAACCACGAGTGCGCGGAAGGCGGGGAGAACCTCAGGTGGGCTGGGGTGGCCTCTGCAGAGTCTGTCCCTTTGCATGTGTTCAGCTGCAGGTTCGAGTCTCGGCTCGGCCACAGCTTCAGTGTCTGTACAGTGGGCTTTAGCCGGGGTGTGGCCGGGGGTCCGCCGCTGGCGGCTGATACATTGGCTCCACGTGTCCCTCATCCTTCAGCAGACCGGCGGCGTGTTGTCATGGTGATGGCAGAGGTGCGAGTGTGCAAACCCTGGCGTGGTTTCCCACGTCAGTCGTCCGCCGGCCTTGTGTTGGCAGCACCCTCCTGTGCTGGTTGAGTCCAGAGTCGGCTGTGAGGGCCCGGATGCGGGGCCCTTCTGCTGTCTGTCACACTCCCCACACTGAACTGGCCACGCATTCCGGATGTGACTCTGAGCCCACCTCTCGCTCACCAGGAAGAGCGTTCTGATCGATGAGTGATGTCTGCCACAGGCGCGGATGTGGGAGTGGACGTGCTCTCTGGTCTAAGCAACACCAGTGTCTCCTTCCTCCCAGCTCGGGCCAGGGCTCAGGGTCGGGTGGTTTTGACACTCTGTCTCCCGGTCTTTTTCTCTGGTCAAGTGTTGGGCAGCGCCAGCTGGTGTGCCTGGCTCGGGCCCTGCTGAGGAAGACAAAGATCCTTGTGTTGGATGAGGCCACTGCGGCCGTGGACCTGGAAACAGATGACCTCATTCAGTCCACCATCCGGACACAGTTCGACACTTGTACTGTCCTCACCATCGCTCACCGTCTCAACACCATCATGGACTACACAAGGTGAAGCTCCCGGCACAGGCGGCCTCCTGGCTTGGTGTTCACCCCACTCACTGATTCATCCATGTATCCACTTGTTCGTTCGTTCATTCATTCAACACTGTCCTTATGTCTAGTGACAGTCCAGTTGGTGGAACCTCTCTACTCTGGGTAGTGCCAGGTATCCGTGACATCACTCCGTCATTTATTCGGTCAGCACGGTGGAGTGCTCGTCTCAAAGCCAGCCCTGCTCCAGGGGCTGGGGTCTCAGCAGGAAGCTGTCAGACCAGGAGCCTGCCGAAGGGACTTACAGACTAGTTGAGGGCTGGGCACAGAGACAGACAATAAGCACAGCAACAAATAAAAGCAAATGGTGCCGGGAAGGAAATCGAGTAGGGGGTGGCAAGGGCCGTGCGTTGTGTCAGGGCATTGGCATTGACTAGAAGGGGTGACCAGGTGGAAGGCCACTGCAGCCGTCCTGACAGGTGTTAGGGGCTTGCCTAGGTGGGCTCTTGGGGGCATGAGGTGCTAACCCCTTCCCCATCACTCACATCTGCGTCCCCTCCCCTTGCAGGGTGATCGTCCTGGACAAAGGAGAGATCCGGGAGTGCGGCGCCCCGTCTGACCTCCTGCAGCAGAGGGGCTTGTTTTACAGCATGGCCAAAGATGCGGGCTTGGTGTAAGCCCTGAGCGGGCGCGTCTGGTTGACCTGCGGGGCCCACATGCCAGTATCCCAGGATGTCAGCCTCTTGGGTTTCTTATATACTGAAACCAAAAAAAAAGAAAAACCAAACCCACCAAAACAAAACACACAAAGCAGCCACTGCCTGGTCCACTGCTGGGAATTGGCCGTGAAGAAACAGATGCTGCCCACCAAAGACACGCACGCCCTTGCCTGTGGCCCCCACCGGCGCGCAGGCGTGCTCACCCGGGAGTGCGTGCGCGTGGTGCTCTGCTGGGAAGCTTGGCAGCCAGACTTCTGGAGAAATGGTTGCGTAAAATACACTAGTGACCAAACCCAGCCAACTGCCTCCAGTCTCTGGCCAAAGTCTGGAATTTCACGTCTTCGGCCCCCAGCTGCTGTCCCGGCACCGCTAACATCCTTGTCTGGCTCCACTCAGAATGCTTGTTTTTGGGGGGCTGCAGTTTGGGCCTGGTGAAGGTCATCCTCGCCCTCGGGCAGTGTCCTAAGGGCCGTAGGCACTCCTCTCGCCAACCATCCAGTCTTCCCGGTGCTCAGGCACGGAACCAGCGCCCAGCATGCCTGCACCAAGCCTCACTCAGGCCTGGGCAGTCTCGTCACCTGCGCACTTCTCATCGACAGGACTTGGCTGGACTTAAGGCGACCTGGTCCCGGACCTTCAGGGCTGGGGGATCCTCTCTCAATGCCAACTTCCCAAATTGGCTCACCTCCTTACCCACTCCGGTCTTGTCTTTGTTTTTCCTCTGCCTCTCTTTAGCCATTGCTGGAGTGGATTAGCTCTCGGTACCTGAACGAGGTCTGCTCGTGACGATGAAGCCTTCAAAGCCAAGAGCACTGGGCACCTCTAAATTTGACCAGTTGGTACTGAAAAGCGCTCTGTTGAGTCTTCTCGTTTTTAGACTTCGGTTTCTCCCTCTGGGCCTCTGGCCAGCTGTCAAGGCGGCAGTGTGGAGAACTTGACATTGAGTTACCAAGTGTCTTCCAGGACAAGAAAAGAACCCGTTCACGAATATCAGTGATTGCTTGTTCTTTTCTTTTCTCTTTTTTTTTTAAAGTACTGCTCCCAGGAGAAAAACCATCTCGACTTGAATTTCTTGGGAGGAAGTACCGGGCCGGGGAGCAGCACGCGCAGGGCAGGGCAGAGCCAGGGTGCCCGGCACCTGCTGTTCCTGGGAGAGAACAGCGGAGAGGGAACCGTCGGGGCCGGTCCTTGAGTCTCGCGATCCGAGACCAAAGGGAGACCCAAAGAGCGGAGAGGGGGCCCTGCTGCCCCAAGATTCATATTTGGAAATATATTTATTTTTTGTAAGTTATACCATTCTTTCACATTAGAGAAACCAATTTTTTCTTGGGGATCATTTTGTAATGACTTACACTGGAAATGAGAACATTTACAAGCAATTTGCAGTAAAAAAAAATATTTTATTTCTTTCTAAATGATGACTCCACGTTCTTTGGGGCATCGCCCAGGTTTCGGCCATCTCCTTGGGGCGTCAGCGTGGTCGCTTTGCTTTTGGCAAATGTGTCACCTCTAGTAGCAGCTCTTGTCAGAAATGGGAGCCCCGGGTTAAGAATTGGGTGGGACTTAGTGGGGAGTCAGCATAGCATAGTGGACGGAGCCGGGGCTCGGGGGTCAGACAGGCCTGGGCTGAGTCCTGCCTTGTCATTTGCTGGCTGTGTGACCCTGGGCAAGTCACTTAGTCTCTGTGCCTCAGCTGCCACGTGTGAAATGGAGCTGATCGTACCTGCATGACGGAATTGTGAAAATGCGTGACAGTGTGTGAGACACCTGTGGCCTCGGGACGGGCAAGGCACAAATCATGTGGCCAACATTTCCCTTGAAAATGCTTTGCATTTGTCAGGATGGGCTAGGCCACGCTGTGGCCATAAACGGAAATGAAAATGGGTTTTATTTCTTGCTCATGGTGAGCTGACTTCCAGGTCACCGTGGCGGGAAGGGAGAATGTGGCCAACTCACACCCACTCTTGAGTGTCTCAAACCAGAAATGAAGTCACTCAGTTCCACTAACAGCCTATTAGCCATAGCAAACCGCAAAGGAAGTTGGGATACTAGGGATGCATAAGGAAGAGACGTCTCCTTGTGAGTCCCTGTGGTTTCTGAATTTTGGGTAGTAGGGTAGTGAGACTGGGGTGTTGGGTTTCTCGGTTTGAGCTGGGTGAGTCTGGATAGTGAGGAGTGCCTGCACTGGGGGAGCATCCCATCTCTGCAGCTCCCCAAAACCATGCACCAAGTTCATGTGCAGATGGGGCATCTGCGCACCGTGTGCCCTCCAGTGTGGCTGTCCCAGACTGCGGTCCGTTGCCTTGCACTGGGGACAGCGTGTGTAGGTGCTGGGATTGGGGGGGGAGCCAGTGAGGTGGTCACCATGATGAGTAGTCTTTGAATCGTGGAGTCAGTTTTGAATGTGAGGTAGATTTCTCTCCCAGAGGTGGAGCCGAGATCCTTCAGTGCGGGACCTGGTGAGTACCCGTGGGGTGCATCGTGGGAGTACTCGGAGACATCCTGGGCTGGGTTAAATTCAGTTCGCTTTGTGAAAGGAGGCAGGGTGCGCGTCATCAACCCTGGAGAGGGTGGAGCCAGACAGGTTGCGGTCGGTGGGACCCTCCCCACCTGCTCCTCCAGGTAGGGGGCGTAGGCTGCCCCTTCTGCGTAGCTCTGTTCTGGGAAGGGACTCCCAGCCAGAGCTGCATGGCCCTGTTTCGTTCTCACCTGTCGGGCCCCATGGCAAGTTTTATTGAACTCCAGAGTCAGACCACAGCATACAGGATGTGACCTCGTCCCTCCCATTGCTGCATGCTGCTCCCCTGCACTGCCGCTGCCCCTGGCTGACCCCTTCCCCACGCTCAGTCTGTTCTCCACCCAGCAGCCATGACAACCCAATGAAATCCGACGTCACAGCCTCCCCGTGGTCCCCATCTCGGGGCAGCAACCAGCCTGGCCTCCAGGCCCTGCACTGCCTAGCTTCCTGTGACCTCTGCCCTCAGCTGACCCCTCTGGCCACCACTCAGGCCATTCCAGCCACACACGCCTCTGCTGTTCGAATGTGCTGGGCACAGCCCTGCCGCGGGGTCCTCCCTCTCCCAGATCTGCACTGCCTGCCCCGCGCTGTCTGCCGATGGCGGCTCCACGAGCACAGGGCGCTCATCTGCTTATTCTTTGCTGAGTCCCCACCTCGAGCTTGGGCACATGGCACGTGCTCAGTGGCTGCATTCTTTCAGGACTGAGCCCCCGGTGCCAGGCCCGAGCCAAGGGTGATGTCACTGGGCTCTAGAACTTGACCTTCGGGAGCTGTGCTTTTCCCATCGGTATAAGTGGGACCATCATACCCACCTGGCCAGGTAGTTGTGAGGATGGAACCAGATTGGGGGTGGAGGGAGCAGCGAGCACCCTGCCCTTGGGACACCTTCAAACACAGTGATCCCTTTCGCTCATGTTTTACCCGTCCGTCCATCCATCCATCCCGCTCACCCACTCAGTCAAGCAGCTGGCAATTATTGAACCTGTGCTGGGTGCTGGAGAAAATGCACTAAACACTGTTCAAGTCCCAGGCTCAGTAAGTAACGGAAGCCCTTCCGCTCTCGTCTGATGGGATCTAGAAGATCCCGCTTTTATCAATGAGCTGGCGTTTTAGAACTAAAAGGCTGTGTGTGAGGCAGCGTGGCACAGTGGTAGGATGTGCTCTGGAGCCGGACCAGCTGGTTCGATCCCCACCCTCTCAGTTTTCTCCTCTGTAGAAGAGGCCTAATGATGATGGCACCTTCCTCCTCCCACATGAGCATCGCCGGAAAGGGGGCGGGCACAGAGCAGGGTTTTGTGTGTTCACGGGACCAGTGGGACACGGGTGAAGTTGGGGACCTGCTGAGGTGCCCACCAGGACGGCCGTATGGCTTTCCTGGATCTGTGTTCCGCCGGCGGCCGGGCTGTGCTGCTGGAGCCGCGGCGGGGGGACAGTGGCCTGGCTGGTGTGGGGGCTGGCTCCGCGGGGCAGTGGTGTGGGCCAACAGCAGCCTTGTTAGCGGGCTCGGGGCGCTGGCTCCTGCGGCCCACTCTGTGCCCTGGCAAACCCTCTCCCTACGGGAAAGGAGGCTTTTGTGACCCTGGAATGATGCCAAGTGAATTTGCCAAATACGCAGCTGCTGCCGCCTTGGCCTGCGGTCGCTGCGCAGGGAGGTCGGGTGCTCAGCTCCGCAGAGAAACGGGAAGCGCTGCGTCTGGTCCCTTTCTGTGCTTCCAGGTGGGACAGACAACCCCACTGATGACTCGCGCTTCAGCCTCTGGGTGACCTCGGCAGTCATGCCCACTGTCCCGAGCCTCAGTTTCCTCATCTGGAGCCAGTAATTGCCAGTAACGGCGGGGCCAGCACTCTGTAGGCAGATCAGGGCACCGGCAAGGGGTGCAGATGCCTGCACCAGTTTGAAGCCATCAGTGTGCCCTGGGCACGTCCGTCCGGCAGAGGGAGGTAGGAGCTGTGGTCACATCTGGATGACTGAGCTGCAAGCCCATCCGCACGTCCACCAGGAAGCCCCGCGGCCTCCAGGCACCAGCGCAGCACCGCCCAGGAGCAGCCGTGTTCCTGAGAGCAGCCCTCCCGGCTCCCGCGCAGCACCGCCCAGCACTGCCCAGGAGCAGCCGGGTTCCTGAGAGCAGCCCTCCCGGCTCCAGCGCAGCACCGCCCAGCACTGCCCAGGAGCAGCCGTGTTCCTGAGAGCAGCCCTCCCGGCTCCCGCGCAGCACCGCCCAGCACTGCCCAGGAGCAGCCGTGTTCCTGAGAGCAGCCCTCCCGGCTCCCGCGCAGCACCGCCCAGCACTGCCCAGGAGCAGCCGTGTTCCTGAGAGCAGCCCTCCCGGCTCCAGCGCAGCACCGCCCAGCACTGCCCAGGAGCAGCCGGGTTCCTGAGAGCAGCCCTCCCGGCTCCCGCGCAGCACCGCCCAGCACTGCCCAGGAGCAGCCGGGTTCCTGAGAGCAGCCCTCCCGGCTCCAGCGCAGCACCGCCCAGCACTGCCCAGGAGCAGCCGTGTTCCTGAGAGCAGCCCTCCCGGCTCCAGCGCAGCACCGCCCAGCACTGCCCAGGAGCAGCCGGGTTCCTGAGAGCAGCCCTCCCGGCTCCAGCGCAGCACCGCCCAGCACTGCCCAGGAGCAGCCGGGTTCCTGAGAGCAGCCCTCCCGGCTCCCGCGCAGCACCGCCCAGCACTGCCCAGGAGCAGCCGGGTTCCTGAGAGCAGGCGCCGGGTCAGCCCCGTGACTCTCAACTGGGTGATTCTGCTCTCACCACCCCCAGCCCTGGGACACTTGACAAGACCTCGAGACACCTTTGTCACAGCTGGAGGTGAGGGTGCTAGAGGGTGGGGCCAGAAATGCTGCTGCACATCCTGCAGTGCCCAGGAGGCCCCCACAGCACCATCCACCCCACCCGCCCACGGGGATGAGGTTGAGTCCCAGTGTACGCACCCTTCTCTGCGGCCCCACCGAGGCGCTCAAATACAACCGGAGAGACCACAGGGAATGTTTATTGAGCACTTACTTTGAACGCGGTCATGTATTAGCTCACTTTGTCCCTGCAGCGGAGCCACGAGGTCAGTGAGGGACCTGGGTTGTCTCATTCCTCAAGCGGCCCTTTACAGCTGGTTACGTCTGGGGATGACCCCCTTCCCCGGTGCCCAGAGCCGCTGAGTGAGCCCGCACTAAGACCTGACCTCCGTCAGAAACGGCCTGAGCTGGGCGCGGTCACTGCCCTTCCCGAAGGCGAGTGCTGGCCCCTCTCCACCCCTGACCTCTGACCTTCCATCTCCAGCAGCCTCTCCCCCATGGCCCCTCGGGAGTTCTGACTGCTCCTGGGGCTCCCCCAAAGCCAGAATTTGGTCTTTAACAAGCAAACATAGGGCACATGCCAAGGCCTGCGCAGAGTCTCCCGGTGGGGACCACGGAGTCCTGGCTGCTCTCTGGCCGTCGGAGCTGAGCCTGCGTGTGGCGCCTGCTCCTGCCCGGAGGCCCCTTCGTGGTTGGGCTGTGGCCTGTGTCCCATTCAGACGAGAAGCTCCTTGGGCTCATGTGCAAGGGTGGGGGGAGCAGGAGGCAAGGCGTTCAGTCCCGGTGCATGTTGGGATCATAGGGAGAGCTTGAAAAATACCCAGTTTGCCAAACTGGGGGCCGGAGGGAGGGGCTTCAGTGACAAAATGGCAACCCTAGGTGTTGTCATGGTGATGGGGGTGTTCAGCATCCCAGCTCTGGGGGTGGATGCAACCTGTACATGGGACATGATCGTGTGGAAGTCACACACACATGCACACGTGTACAAGTACAGCGGGAAGTCTGAGCACGGTTGGCACACTGTGCCGATGTCAGTATCCTGGCTGTGACA